GTGCCCGCAAGCATCACATGGGTTCAGGGTAACTCTTTGCAGAGGTGAGTTTATTTGTGCTTGGAAGACCTGGCTGAGCCACATCTTCTGCTTCTTCATGGACTGCTGCTTTCACAGCAAAGCTATCTGGTTAAGCTGTACACTTTCTCAGGCAGGATAGGTGAAAACTAGCATTCATTTTCTGGAAACCTTAATATTAACTAGTTGCTTGTAACTCAGCAGAAGACTCCGTGGTCTCCACAATAAAACAATACCTATGGAAATTTAGGCCCTCAAAGTTGAGTCCTGGATGCTTTCTCTGGCAAACTACTCCCTGGGGGGAGGCTGCCATCCAGAAGACTGAATACCAAGCTCCTGAAGTTTCTACTTTTTGTAGATCCAAACTGCTCTGTAAATGGAGTTGTGGAAAATCTCCTGGGAGAAGATGACAACAGTTGGAAACTTCCCAGCTAATTTTGAATCTCACATGCAGACTTCTAGTATAAAAAATTCAGTTGAATTTTGTGTTTGGATGAAGTGAACTTCTTGATAGATTTAATATCTGTTTCTGGGCTGGCTGACTAGTCAAGGTGTTTGGAGAGCATGATTTAGCAAACTAAAGTGAAGCAGCCTTATCAGATGGCAGCCTGCATAGTTGTCAGGTTGCATTTCCAACACAGGCAGTTCGGTCCTACTTGCCTGGTACTGTAGGATACCAAACATGCTGCTAAAATCACCTGACTTCTGTATCCATAAATTCAGATGTCTTGAGGAATTCTGGGAACTTCATAGGAATGCATGAAAAGCCTGCTCTTGTGGTTGTTTCACAGCTGTATGCAAGAACCAGTAGCTCATGAACCCGAAAGTCTGAATATCATACTGTATCTACTATAGGTTGTGATCCAGGCCTTGCTACACCTTGACATGACCTACTTCAACAGATGACAAAGCTGTTTAGACTGTCCTGAGGAAGTGGAGGACAGAGACTAAGGATGTTTACTCTTTAATTTAGAAAAAGCTTTGAAACTTTGGAAAAATCTTTGTGGATGCTCACTAAGAAGTGAAGAATGTCTTGGCAAAACATGTTCTCCAAGCCACCTTTCCTGGCTAACCAGGAGCAGCCTCCTGTCCTCTCTGCTGTGGGACTGCTCAGCTTTATGGCAGACTGAGTACTGTGAGTAACAGGTACTTTGACAAAAGGCTTTGAAAGCAGTAGGTACCTGCTGTGACCTGGACTGTGCTGGTCGCTTATAATACTACCTCAGAGAGTTACTTAAAACATGGATGGGCAGCTACTTGATGCCCTAAAGGTGAAGCTGATGCATGAGCCACTGGTACTGAAGTCAGACACAGCTTGCTAGCTTGTTTATATAAAATGGATAATACTAGCCAGTACTTCAGATGCTTGTGAGTATGATAGTTCTACCAACAGGTAGAAACACAGGTGGCTGCATATCTCCTTTCCTACTAGGCTCTGCAGGACATACTCCTCTTCCTGTGGTAAAAGCAGACTAACACAAATGCTGCAGTCTTGTTTCCTGAACACCAAAAAAAGAAAAAAATTAAATCACCCAAGTCTCATGGAAGAAAGGCTGGGAAATTAACATGACATGGAGCTGCTCTGATGGTAGGATTACAACCTGAGGTATCTTGTTGTCATACTTCAAAGCCTGTCTCTTTCTAGCAATAGCATAAGACTTAAGCAAAACTGATCCTGCGTACTGTTAAACAAGGATTCAGCAGCTATATGTGTTGTTTCTAGTGCACTTATCTGGGAGGTTCCACCCTTTCAGGAGGAGAAATAGTTCGCTTCTAACTTGGCTTTCATCTACTGAAAAGTAGCCAAGTAGCAGGATATGATGCCAGCTGTCTTTTCCAGGGGAGGATCCTGCAGATGAGGCAGTACAGCGCAGTAACACATCATCTCTCCTTTCCCCACCACCACAGCTAGCAGCTCTCCTGATTTGAACCGCTGCTGGTACAGAAGTTTTGCTTTATGTAGGTCTGGAGTGTTTTCATCCAATATAGAACTATCACAGCCTTTAACACCCAAGACATTCCACTGGACCCATGACTGCATGAATACACTCAAGTGCAATGAAGTGAATTCAAACCTTCACAGACTTCTGTGCTGCTGAAAATGTGCAAGACACACTGGTATGTTATTGTAACTTCCCAAGAGAATTAGTGAGGAAAGTGCTATCTTCATACTAACTGGCTTGCAGCTAACTGACTTTGGTTCTTTTTCTAGATTCTCATATTTTAAGCAGGTTCCATCACATGCTTTAAGCTCTCTTTTGGAGAAGTTTTATTACAAGCTTTTGAGATCTCCTCTGGAATCAGGCTTAAGCTGTTTTTCCAAGTTAATTGTCCTACTGGAAGCTTAGAATATGACTGGCTGCAGTTCTGGTGCAAGTTCTACGTTAATGCTCAATGCACATGGGCAATGATGAGCTGTCTTTTACTTTGGAAACAGAAACAAATTTGTCTTCTGTGGTATGAAGGTATGAAGCTACTGTGGTATCCCAAGGTTTGCTTTGCTTTTTACTCTGCTCAGCAAATTCTCTTGTCTTGCTGAACTGCAGATTTTCTGAATCCATCTCCTGTTGTTAACCTTATCTTGTCTACTGCTTATTTTGTTTGTGTAATTTCAACAGAACTTCTTATCTACTGAGTTACTGTGCCACTGCTTCCTCCTGTTGTATATGTTCCTCCTATGCTGAGTCTGAGCAAGAAGCTTGTGTAGTTTGAAGTGTCTACCTCATGTCTGAACTCGCAAGCTGTGCCTTGCTCCTCCTGCTCTTTTTGCCCTCCTGAGAGCATTTGAGTGCCTGAGTTCCTGTCTTGCTCACCTGCCAGTTAAATCTGAAACCATCTATTTGTTGGCAACTGCTTCTGTACATTAGCTGAGGGAACATATCTAACCTCAGTTAGTACACAATAGTTTAGATTACCCCTTTCCCAAAATGTCTAGGCTAAACAATTATTTTCTCTACTTCATAAGGCAGCCCTCAAGGTGAAGAGCAATGCTGCCACAGTTCTACAGTACTGCAACACACAGATGGCTCTTTTTTAAATCCCAGTACACCCATGATGATGGGCAATGACTGGTAGAAATTCAGCTGTGATTTTAGCCATTATCAAAAGCTGACCTTTGTAAGTTACTTTACCTCAAAGCTCTTGCCTGTGATTCTGTACCTTTGGCTAAAGGAGCATGGATGAACAGAGGGGGTCTCATTGACATGTGATTGCTTTGCTAAGATGTTATGTTTTGTCTGGCCACTTACAGTTGTGTGAAGTTGGGTCTAGGAAGTCATTGTGTAACTAAAACACTTACAGTTAATGTGGTGCTTAGCTGTAGTGATGTTTCTCTGTTTGGCAACAAGGTAAATCACTCTGTGGATAAATCTATTCCTGTGCTACCATTAAAAAGATGCAAACAAAAAACTGTCCTGTCTTCTCTGAAAAGAAGAGCCATTGATCCTTAGGACTTTCTCTGTACAACCTTGTCACACACTGACAGCTCCCTCTGCTATAAAACCAGAGCAAAAAATGTGTTAAGTTGCTGTGATAATTATGCAAGGGCAATGTGAAAAATGCCAATAATTTGTTTTTAAAATATTAAAAGTTTAATAGTAATAAAATGGTTATAAAAATAGTAATACAATTAGAGTAATAATAATTTGGACAGTTTGAATTAGTACAATATGAGACAATAGAAACAAAGAGTTACAGATGTCTGGGTACCTTTTTCTGGGCAGCACAAGCCTGAAAAAGGACACCCGTTAACAAAGGATTAACCCTTAAAAGCAATAGCCTGTTGCATATTCATACACTTCATACATGATGCATAAATTACATTCAAACAAAGGATTCTGTCTGGTCATCGTCAGCTTCTTCCTCTGAATCCTAACAGTGCCTTCGAGGTGGGAAGAAGTTTGTTTCTTCTGATGAGAGGGCAATAAATTCTTCTTCTCTGAAAGATTTAGGTGTCCTGTGGCTGCTATCTCCCTGTGAGTCCTTTCTTTAAAAAAAGTATCCTACATAGCATAGTTCCTATTTTAACATTTTTTATAACCTAAAACTATATTTAACACACTACTTAAGAGAATTAATACAGCATTACTTTCTAACACAACACATATAATATTCATTTTAATATTTGCAAAAAGCCAATCACAAAATACGCATTTTTCATATGCAATAACAACTGTTATGGAGTAGTTGGTTTGTATTGAAGTGTGAGATATGAAGGTGTGTGGATGTACCATGTTAGCTATAAAGTTGTTTTGCTGTATTTTTCTTCCTAAAATAGCAACTTGCTGGATCTTTTGGCCTCTCTCTTCTCTTAGTGCTGGATGACACTCTTAGGCTGGGGAGAATGGGGATGAGGGCCTCTCCAAAAAAAAAGTAGTGTTTTCATTTGCTTAAGGACTCCAAAAGGGAGGTGTGCCTAGTCTCTTGTGCGGGAGAGTATAATCTGTGACTGTTGCGTACTGCAGTGATGGGAGTTCAGACTCTGGCTGCTGTCAACATGTGTGGAGGTTAATGGATTGGATGGGAGCCCTCTGATGGAAGTTTTGCTCCTTCCTCCACCATAGGAGTCTCCAGAGGTGAAAGCTAACTGCATTCCAGACAACTGAACTGTTGCCATTTCGCCTGAAACCTGTCTTATAAGGTCTCTTGATTTGCCTAGCTGTTTTGTTTTCAGTCTAGGTTGGCTCAGTCTCACCAGGAAGTGTTGGTTCAGCAATGCTGTCGTTCCTTAGGAATTGAAAGCAGGTTGTGCTGTACTTAGGGAAGGTATATTGGTAATGTGCTTTATCCTCAGCTCAATGCTTGAAGACTTTAGTATGTTGCCCAAGTGTCCTGGAAGAGGGTGGTCCTTGGGGATGCTGAAACAAGCAACCCTTATAATATATCAGAGAAGCTTGTCTGTGGTGTCTTTGAAAATACTATGTTTTACCTTGAGTCTGTTAAGCTTATTAAAAACTTCCTTTTTTTTTTTCTCTCCAATACAGGATCTCAGCCTGCCCAATGGCACACCTGTGGACACTTCTAGCCCGGCCTCCTCCTCATCTCTCCTCAACAGACTGCAGTTGGATGATGACTTGGATGTGGAAACTAGAGACCTCTTTGTTACTGTTGATGATCCCAAAAAACATGTGTGCACAATGGAGACGTATATTACATACAGGGTTACAACAAAGGTATGAAGCAATATTCTCTTTCCTAGTACTTCCTTCTTTGTGGAATAACTGGAGGTCATGCTGGATATTCACATCTTGCACTGTTTTCCTATCTTAAGGACAAGAACTGAGTGTCTTTTGGTACCTTGTGAATGTGTTGAAGATGATGACTTTTCTTAGCACAACTTATTTCAGTGTCTGAAATTGTGGAAAAAGCTTTTAACATGTCAACGTAGGTTTATTATTTTTTTGTCTCTGATTCCTAAGAATCAGAGTAAACTTGCAAGGCCAGTTTCTTTCATTAACTTCACAGTTTGTTCATTTAAGTAATCTGACACTCACTTGGTTTGAGTTCCCTTAAGGTGAATGTGCCTTGTTACTCGTTCACTGTTAATCATCTCACTTTTTGTGTCTATCCTTTTCTGAAATGCTTTAAGCTTGTTGCTGGAAGTGTTTTCTACATTTCCTCTGCTATCCACTAAAATCATAGTCTTGATCCTCAGCTGTAAACTAGCTTTCATGCAGTTGCTGGTTCAGATAGCTCTACAGCTGATAATAAAATGAAGAAGCCTGGGAATGCTGCTGCCAACCAAAAGTGTCTGGAGATTATTTCAGCACCTGTTGCAGTTCAGTCATGAATGTAATCTATATGTATTTATATGAAAAGTGATCTGAAAAGTCCACTACATTCACAGCTGAAATATTGATTCCTCTTAACTAATTCATTCTTATTATAATGAGCTCCTAGGTGATGTTGACATCTGCTTTGGGCACTTGTAGTTACCAAGGCAAAAGGTGTTTAGTAACATTACTGGTAATATACTTGATATATTTGTCCAGAAAGATTAACATTCCTCCAGCCCACTTAGATGGCAGTATGTACTGGAGCAAATATTTTCCATGGAGATAAGGAACCTTTACAGGCCACAGATAATTTTTTTCCAAATGTCCACTTCAAAGTTTCACTTTCAGACTGCACAGGACAAAATGGAGTTTCTCCAAAATAGTAACTATCTCTTCCTGCACATTTAACACAGCTCTGTCATTCATTTTTACTCTTAACAGTTTTAATCTTGCAGGAAACACTGTATCTTTTTTTAGTTGGAGCAGTTTAGCCTTCAGCTATTACTTCATCAGAAGGAATAGGAACCACAAAATAAAATGCATCTTCCCACAGAGAAATGGCTAAAATTGGCTAATGTTGTTTCTCTCTTAAATTAAGATTCAAATTATTCTGCCAATATAAAATATTTCTATATAGCGGCACCCTAATAATGTTCCTATGCTTGGAAATCCTAATGTTCAAGGGTTCATTTTCTTTTTAAAGCAGAACTCTGAAACATGGCCAAGGTCTTTACCATATTTAGATCAGAAGTATTACCAAACTGTGTCTCTTTTCTTATTTAAAAAATAATTCTATACTTCTGATTTTGATGTCTACCTACCTGTCTTTTAATACTTGTTTTATTTTGGGTCTCATTTAGCACATGAATCTGCTATATCATTCCATTGCAATGCAATTAAGAAACTGAGTAAGTTGTTCTTCTGAATCATCATGAAATCCTCATCTATTTAGTTTTATTATTTGTGGAAACTTCTGGTTAATCTCTAGGGTCAGAACCTCTAGGACTATCTAGGACTATCATTGTTCGAGACTTAACAGTATTAATGAATGAGTTACATTCTTGCCCTACAAACAAGGTGTCTTCGGTGACAAGCTAATTGCCAATTAGCCATTGAATCTGCAAGCAGTAATTAAACATGGCAAAAAAGCTGCACAAGAATAATCCATGGAGTGAGATGAGGAGCCTTTGCAACACCTCCCTTGTAGCCTTGCAGGAAAGAAATTTGAGGCCTCTCTGGTGACTCTGAATGAGGAGGCAGGGACAGCTGGGTTTTTTTCCTTTACTGGAGAATGCTTCTGGAACCTCAAAGGTTTGGATAAACATAGGTCATAGAATGAGTTATTTTGAAGACTGAAAAGCAGCATCACCAGGGGAGTTGCTAATTCTGTAATGTGTGGTTGTGACAGAATATCACTGTAGGGAAGAGTGTAGACTGATCACAGTCTCATTTGTGTTGTGTGGGGTTTTTTTTCCCTCTTTGTTTTTACAGGTCCTTCATTCTAATAGGAAAAAAAATGTCTTGCAGTATGCCCTGTGCTTTTCATCTCATACCTTTGTCAGCAGATGGTGGTGACTGAGGAAGGGTCAAAACATTGGCTTGCAAAGGAAGACATAAGAGTTTACTTGATCCTGATTGTGTACCTGTTTTCACAGCTCCCTAGTAAGAGCCAGGTAGCATTCCCTAGCCTGTCTTGTGGATGAACACATTTAAAGAATGTAATGGTAATCCTCCAGCTAACAAGAAAGTGATTCAGGACTGACTTCTTGATTCTCTCATATCCTGTGTTCATCTTGCTAGTGCAGTTACTAATGCAAGTTAGTAAGCAGTTTCCTTACACAGGGGGGCTAGTGAAACTGTAAAGGTAGGTAGAAGTTGTGATGGAACTTAATGGGTCATGACTGTGATGATTGAAGTGTCTGTGTGTCCTTCAGATAGATGGAGGTGCATTTTAGGGAGACTTTACCAAACAGAGTTCTTTTTTAGGAAGAAAGAGGAAAGTAAAGCTTGACCATATGTTATGTAGTCATCTATCCTAAGAAAACATAAATAAGTGTACTTCTAACTTCACTTTCATTGTACTTTCTAGGATGGCAAGGCCTTCTTCTGTGCCTTTTCCCATGGAGGTCTGAACAGCTGAGTGTCATTGCTCAGAGTCATGCAGTTGCTCTGCAGGCTTGAAGGGAGAGTCTTTCAAACCAGTCAGTACTAGCCATTGGACCAAGTGGAGGTCTTGTTTTCACTTTCCTGTCCTTCTCATGCTTCCATGAGATTACTTGAACACATGAAACAGCTTGATTCCCTAGAGAGGAGCAGGTAAAAGTGATATGAAGTCTTTTTCAAACAGGCTAAACTGTTTGAGGCAAAAAGAAATACTGGAGTGCTAAGAACACCAGCCTTCTTCCCTTCCCCCTCTCTGTCATTCTCCTCTTTTCCTAGCTGAAGATGTTGCCTCAAACTTAAATAGTGGCATGGAGGGGAATCTGCAGTCAACTCTGGTGAGTTAGAGAGTAGAACTAGGGTACAAAAATATTTTTGTCTTGTCATCACAGGCTAGCTTCAGGTTTGGCTGTTAACTCCTTCCAAGGAAGACAAGAATCTTATGCAAGACCAAGACAGGTGATTGCCTTAATACTGCCTCTAGTCAAAACCATTCCAGCAATTGAGGTAAAAGTATCTATAACTGTCTGCTTTCCAGAAAGTAAAACTGAGCCCAGAGTGTTGCAGTGCTGACTTAGTGGAACTGTGCTGGAATTTTCAATAAGTTCCTGGAAACATCTTGCCCATTATTTTTTGTGAGGTTGACATCTGCCATGTAAGTTTCTCAGGTTCCTTTGGAAAAGACACATGTCCTTGCAAGATGAGATTTATAAATCTTGCTGAGAAAGCAGGAGGAATTTAACTGTGTTGAAGACATAGGTGCTTTACTTGTTGTCTGCTATGGAAATATCCCTGCTCAACCATCCAGGATCCACTCTGGCAGGCACTCTTGCACCACCTGAGCTGGACCAAAGGCCTCTTCCCAGCTATGCCCCCTCACACAGTCAGACCAGGTTTCCATCCCTAGGTTTTCCATAGCAGTCTTGAACGTCCCAACCATTAAAATCATTTCATCACAGCACAATTGCAAACAAACAGCTTGGGCTGGTGTCTCTGGGGAGGGACCCAGAACAAAGGAACCCCTGGGCTTTTATCCCCTCACCAAGCACGGGAAGGTCTGGGACCGTTGGCTCCTGCCATGTCCCAGTGTCCGGCCCCCTGGCTGGGCCACAGGTCCCCGGGCCCTCGTGTGCCCAGGGTGGGCTCTTCAGGGCCTCCTTGCCTGGGCTGCCCCAGCCTGAGCTCAGCCTGCAGCTCCCACTGCAGCTGCACCCTGAGCTACCTCAGTGAAACCTGTTCCTCAGTGCTGCTTCGACAGTGGCGGGATCCTCCTTCCTCTTTTGTGCAATCTGGAAGAAATAACTTGGGCTAAACTAATGAAGAGTTTGATCTGAGATCCAAATTCTTTCAGCATTAGTGACGTTTCATTAAAACCTTGAAGGGCCTTTATGTTCTGCCCAAATAGTCTTTGAAAAGCTTATTTGCTGTCTAGATTTCATAACCTTTACAGTAAACACTGAAATGTTGCTGCTGTATTTTCATCTCAGTGGAAAAATGTGATATATGGAAAACTTTGCACTTCTGCTTGTAAAGTAAAGGCAACAAGAGCAGTTTGGTAGAGGTGAGCTATAGCTAATGTATGGTTTGTGTATTGGGACTTAACCCTGCTTTCCAACTCCTAGGCAGTCCTATATGGTTTTCCTTAACTGTTAGCAGCATAGTGGTTAATAAGCTTCTCAGTGCTAACAGATGGGAGACTTTACCTTTATTCTCATGCTGCAGGATAAGACACTGTACTGTGTAGCCATTCTGATTACTCTCATTTACTCACTATGTGATCTCTTAAAATGCCATTGGGCAGTGACAGCCAGTTCACAGAAGGTCTGCCTTCTACTGAATTACTACTGCCTCATCACAAGCTTTTTTTTCCCTTTCTTTTATTTATAGATGGCTTTATATTTAAAGCCATTTATATTTATTTATTTTTATTTATTTTCTTTACTATAGCTTTATATTTAAAGCCATTCATTCTCTTACTCCAAACAAGTGAAAATGATTCAAATGAAGTCTCAGAAGTCACATTCATAGTGTGGCACTCTTTGATGTTAAATTAGCTGGTGTTACTCTGAGAAGTGCATAGCTGAGTAAAGCACAGATCTGCAGTGGATATTGGGGTCTTGGTAGTCCCTCATCTACAAACAAAACTGCTCCAATTCATGAAGATTCTTTATGTTAATCCATGGACTAACCTCTATATTGCTTATTATGGCTAGCAGGTCAAAGAAGGGAGGAGCTGATCCTGATTTATTTTTCTGTCTGTGCCTTCCTTTACTAGAATCCAAACAATTTTATAGGTAATGACACATCAGCTTGCTGCTTACAGTATTGTAGACCTACTGTGCTGTTGATACCATATTGAGGCTCCTGAGTTCACCCTAGAAAGAGATTTCATATATAGAACTTTTTCAGGATCCCCAGTGGTGATTGGTAGGAGTAAAATGCAGCAATTGAAGAGGTAAAGTCATTCAGAGAGCAAGTGAAGAGGTGGATGACGTTTAAAGGCTGCTACTGGCTGGGACTAGCAAAGCAACCAGGTGCTGGACTCGATGCCAGCTCAAGGCTGGAGTTGCCGTGTATTCCTCAGAGTGTGCTGGGTTTGATGCCTGGCTGCAGGCATGTAGTGTGCTGGCACTGCAAGCCATGCATTGCAAGGTGGACATAATGCTGCAAGTAACTGAAGTATAGCTGCCTGTGCTTCTCAGAGGGACATAACTACAAGGGCCATCTACCTTCTAATCAGGGCTGCTGCAATGCCAGGCTCTTCAGCAGACACTCCTAGTTGGTACACGGTTTCACGAGTGATTTTAGGCAGTTGCAGTACATGCTGTGCAAGCAGCCCCATACAGTCAATCAACCTTCCAGGTTATGGACTCTTCAAAGACTGGATAAAACACTTGCCAGGAGTTTATCTGCATACTTATTTTTTTCCCCTCAAACTTGTAGTGACCTTGCCCTAAAGAAGGAAAAGTTTAATTTAATGTACTAATATATCTAATTGGACATACACATAAGCAGACTTGTTTCTTCATCTTGGAAGTCAACAAAAATGGTCCATCAAACCTTGCGGTAGCTTATATTCTCATCTTTTCACCTTGGAGTGTGATAAGCCCATCAGTCTTAGAATACAAGACAGTGGTGAAACACTTTTTCACCTGTGGATAGTGCATGTCATAGAATAAACAAATCAGTAAACACCTTTACTTTTAATTCTTGATGGTTAAAATAGTCTTGTCCTCGCAATGAATATCTCATACAGTCTTTGCAATCTTGTAACTACCAAGAGAGTTATGTGGTGCACAGTGCTTCTGCTCTGTGCTCTTCTACCATGATGAGAGCAGAACATGTAATGAACTTCAAATAGATCTTAACACATCAGCTCTAAGCAATCATTTTTCATATTGCTGCTTTTCCACTGCTTGGAAGACCAGAGGATCTTTCTCTCATGCTGGCTGCAAAATTTTGGGGATTAACACCCCCCTGCAAGGCTTGTCTGGCTTCACCCTTGCCAGAGATGGCTGTACTGCATTTGCTGCTAAGCTCTGAAGTTGCTGCACACTAATTATTTCCTGTTCTTTTCCAGACCACACGAGCAGAGTTTGATTTGCCGGAGTATTCTGTCCGTCGGCGGTACCAAGACTTCGACTGGTTGAGAAACAAGCTGGAAGAGTCTCAGCCAACACATCTTATTCCCGTAGGTACTAAGCAAGAATCTGCTGTTAAGGACAGTTGTGCATCTGTCTTCCAAGGGTAATATTTGGATGTAATGTGTCTAGGTTTAAAAAACAGTACTTTATTCTGTTTTGCTTCCCATTCCTGACTAGTTAGGAAGCTTAGGCTTTCCTTGAGTGGCACACCTGAGAGGTAAGCTTTGTCAACCTCCTGCAGGGCAATACATGTGCTGACTACAGTAGCTGTGACATAAATAGAATACATTTAATCTGTTTACTCAATTATTACATCTGTATTTCAAAGCATCTAGGAATTATGAAAAGCCACAGGTACTTCAGGTTCTAGTCTCAGTTTTCAAGATGGCCTTTTGAGCTGGTTTTACAAAGTAATTTAAAACTGCTTGTGCAAACATTTAATAGCACTGACATGTAATAGCACTGACTTGGAAGTCTCAGCCTCTAGTTTGGTAGCTATTGCATGCCTTCAGTAGGTAGAAGCTTGCCTAATAAGATTAGCTAAACTACTGCACCCATTGTTGCTGAAACTGGTGATCTGACCACCTTATTTGATGTGAGGAAGTTAGTACTACCTTATACGTAGGTATAGGAAACCTTTGAGATCACTGCCTTCAGTCCTTTTGAAGAAAGACATTTAAAAAGCCCCGTAGGAATTGAATTGGCAGGAAATAGCAACACTACTAGCATACTTTAGCTTGTCTGGGGTGGGTGATGGGGTGGAAGTTTCTCTGCCCTCCCTCCCTCAGCAAGGAGTAGGCTGTGTGAGAAGTATTGTTAGGTTGCTCTATGGTTGAGCGCTGTTTAAGTCCTTAATTATGCTAGGACTTGCCTCAAGTGGAATAATAGCTGAGTGTTTCAGAGATAAGAAGTACTTCACAAAATCATGTGACACCACTAACTTCCAGCAAATATGTTTAGTGAACAGTAGTGGAAAGAAAGACAGTGAGCTTGAGAGCATAAGGTGGAGGCATGTGTAATGTGTTAAGTGCTCATACTGTTTTCTCACGTCCCATTCTCTGAACAGCTGGAACAATCACAATTCAGCTTCTGCTTCTTGGGTACACTAATAGGCAGCCAGTTCTGCCTGAAGCCTGCAAGGCTGTAAATAATAGTCGAGTAGCAGAAGGTGAGTCATAGCTGGGGAATCAAGCTGCTTTGCTCCTACCAGGAATTTGTTGCAGACAGAACAGCAAACTTTGCATGAGTAGCTGTAATACTGGACATGGAACTGGCTGTAGAACAAGCCAGTATCTTAGGTGCATTTATTCTAGAAAATCTGGAGGTAAAAGGATGTGCCGTTAATAAGGGAGATAAAGGATTTTGTCTGTTTATGCACAAGTTAGCAATTACAGAATCCCCTAATAATCTCCTTCATGCAGGATATGGTTGCTGAATGTTTTATGTATTTATTGTCTAGAAATAGATGAGGTATAGAAGCTAAAGGTGGTTTCAGATGCACTGGCTCAAGTGTTTTCTGAAAAGATGTTTCAAGACAATCTAAGACTATCTGTATTTGTAATTATAGATACTGGAATCCCTGAAAGCCTAACAAATTATCAAAAGGGAGTTGTCTTCCTAATCTCAATATAGTGATTCTGCCTAAAATCTTGCTGTAGCAAATGATAATGTCTTATCAGTGCAGTGTGTCATGACAGCCTACACTTGGAAGTCAAAACTAACCTCACTGTGAGTTCCTCTTCATCTCTTCAGTTTCTGATATTACTTCTTTTTAAAAGATCTGAGACATTCTAATATTTTCTCTCAAAAGACAGTAAACTGATCTCAGTTCTGTCTCTAGACTACAAAGGTAAAGCACAATTTTAAAACTTATATTAATCTTGAAGTCTATGCTGTCTGGACAGAACAAAAGCACATGTAGCGGTAGAGCTGAAATTAACCATGCATCAGCTTAAAAAGTTACCTTTCATCCAAAGTGGTACTGTGTATTCTGTAATCCAAGTGTAACAGGGGGGACTGTATAACTAGCAAGTCTGGAGATAGTCTGGGCTTACATGTCAAACTGAACTGCAGAGATGAACTGCAAAATAGTAAGATGTAAAAGTGAATGTATCATCAGGCTTTTGTCACTTACAGAAACATACCCAGGAAAGTCAGCTGTGATAGATGACCAGGTGTACTCACTCACACTTCAGAAAAGATCCAGCCATTTTCTGTGTCAAGTCCCTGGTTTGGTTTTGCTCAGTGTTCTCACTAAGGCTGTTGGCCTTTTACAGGAGGGCCCTGTTCAAAAGCTCTAAATTGTTCATAGAGGGTTTGTGGGAAGTAGAATTGTGCAATTTTCTGAGTTTCCTGAGGCTGGGCAGCCTTGCTTCAGCACTGGCTGGTGGCGGGGGTGGTGGTTATGTGTGCTTCTGTTATAAATAGCATGCAGCTCTTCTGGCATCTCTTCAGAGCTGGATCTTGAATATGGATAGCAGTAGGGAGAACAATCTAAGCTATGCTACAAGTATTTAGTGTGAGTACTGTTTGACTTCCCTGGTGTGTCTCTCAGCTGAAGCCATTCAGTAGAATGGCTAGCTTTAAGCCAGACCAGCTTAAGGATAATTTTGAGCACAGCTTGCATCCCATCTGATGCATGGTACCTGTTCACAAACACAATGTTTCAGTTCCTGTCAAGACTGGAATTTGATTACTTTGTTTATTTCCAAATTTCCAAAACAGAAGCAAGTTTTTGGTCTTTTGAATCTTGTACTGTTTGCTTATCTCTGACAGCCTCTTCCTGAAAAATTTGTGGTGAAGGGTGTTGTTGATCGCTTTTCGGAAGAGTTTGTGGAGACAAGGAGGAAAGCATTAGACAAGTTCTTGAAGAGAATAACTGATCACCCAGTGTTGTCTTTTAATGAGCACTTCAACGTCTTTCTCACAGCTAAGGTAAGCCAGTAACTTTCGAATACAGTTGTTGACCTTTGCAGTCCCTTCTGAAATGGGGGTAAAAAGGCATTAACAAAACTACATGAGCAGATCAGAGCTTCCACTTCCTCCAGAGGGTTATTGGGCACTCTGACTATTGTGTGTGACAGACCCTTGTGTGTGACAACAGTATGGGTTCCCTGTGCTTGAAGGGAAGAGGAATCCTCTCTGCAGATTGATAAATTGAATTCTCCAGACTTTCTTGTTTTGTAGCATGTAATCCTATTATGCAAGAGAGAATAAAAATTCAGAAAACTGTCGACTTTAAAATCCTCTTTTGGGGAGGAGGGAAGGGGGAGAGGAAGAAGAGTCTCCCTTGCACAAAAGCTTGTGAATTTCTTGACTTTTTATCTTGTCTGTTCTTTTTATACTGCTTGCACTTGATGCCCTCAAAACTAAGCATGGAGGCCTCATTCTTGTTTGTTCTCAGCCAACAATTTCATGCATCTCTTCTGCATGACTCATGCAGGAATAGTGCAATTTTCTTTGGCTTTCTTTAGAACTGCATTTCAAATAAGACTAGGAGGACTTGCAGCTATGCTTGGGTTTTACCAGATAGGTGAGAAGTGCTGTAAAGGTATGCCCTTCCAAAGTCACATTAATCTAGCTCACTTAAATGTGATGTTTGAGCTCACTTCAGGTTCATGCTTTGCTTGCTGTTAATAATCAAATTCCAGTGTTTTTATTTCCCCTCCATGGTGAAATTAACCACTGAAACAAGCCAGAAATGCAGAATTTGTTTAAATGTCTTATAGCTAGTTCCCCTTTTGATCTGTCCAAACACAATGCAGCTTTCTTAGCTGCTCTATTTGTCTTCTGCCATCCCTGCAAAATGAATGTCAAGGGCTTCATCCTCTGCTTTAGGAAGAGTTTGCCTTGAGATTACAGAGCATCCTGGGGAAAGGATGCGTGTTCTGCTGAATGGTTCTAATGTTTGAACATGGTCTAGTGGAGCAGTGAGGTGTCAGTTCAGTGTACTAGGATTTCAGAATTTAGTTACTACAGGAAGTTGTAAGATCACCTCCTGGTTGAAGAAGAGAGACCAATGTTTCTTCATATTCCCTCTTTGGACCTGTAACATACAATGCTTGAGAGAGTGAGTGAATAATTTTGAGTTCAAGGATCTTTTCTGATGCCTGCTTGTAGCTCATACTGATGACATGTGGAAAGAAAAAATCAAATTGCATTTAAATGCAAACATAATTGAAAATTACACTAACTGCTAAGATGTCAGATTTTCTTAATCAGGCTTACATTTGACTTACATTAAGTGCTGGGAAGGAATACCATAGTACATGTTTTGAAGATGGCTATTTTTTTATTTGTTTTTTGGGGTTTATTTTAAGAAAAAACTTTAGTCTCTTAAGCTTTTAGTCTCGTCTGTAGTAATACGTCTGAATTCTTGATCTCTACAGCCTACTTGGTCTGAACACATCTCTTCCTCAGGCTCTATAGGACAACCAAACTATAGCTCCTGAGTCTGTTTTGAGATGTTGAATACTGACCTCTGCTGGAAGAAATAAAACGAAACATTGTCAGCGTTTTGACTAACTAAAACCATTTTTTTCTGGTGTACTGTTAAGGTGAAATCCCATGAAAATTGTAGAGTAGCAGTCTTGTTAGCATAGATAATCTGAAAGTTGGTTTATGCAAATGTGTAAAGGAGTGAGAAGGAGGTTTACACTTTCTGTGCAGCAATATGGATGCATCTGACCCAGCCTGAGCTACAGTCTCTCTTGCAGAGAAGTTTTGCTGGTCTCCTCACGCTGCATTTTTTCTGCTTGCAGTCTTCACCTGCCTCCTGTTTGACCACAGAACTGGAGTGAGGAGGCTGCTTACCAAATAGGTGTGCAGTGTGTAGCTCTGTAGTAGGTCAGTAGAGCCAGCTGGTGCATCTGATTAATACCGGTATTGTACTGGTATTGACTTAGAAGTATGTGTGGATGAATGATGTGAAATGTTTTGGTGGAACCAGAACTGTTAATAAGCTTGCTTCCCTGGTGAGAGTACAGGAAAATGGGAAAGTATGGCCATATGCAAAGTTGGCCTACTTGTTTATTTCTAATGTACTTCATACTATTCTCCTGGATAATTTATCTCCATGGAGCCTTGAAGCTGTGCTCAACTGTACTGCTTGTAGAAAGCCTTTGTTCAAGGCTGTGTGTCAGATGTAATCTGTTGCTTTCACAAGATTTGATCTTGACTGTAAAGTATTCTTCACTGTATTAATATTTAAACATATAAGTGAGTATTCCTAAGCATATTCTTTTTTGTTTCTTTTTTGTTGTTTGTTTGTTTTTTCATTTTAATTCCTAGGATCTTAATGCCTACAAAAAGCAAGGAATGGCTTTGCTGTCAAAGATGGGGGAGTCTGTCAAATACGTTACAGGAGGCTACAAATTAAGAAGTCGGCCACTGGAGTTTGCAGCCATTGGGGATTATCTGGACACATTCTCTCTAAAGCTTGGTACCATTGATAGAATAGCACAACGGATCATCAAGGAACAGCTGGGTAAGGAGACAGGATGTTCCATCATAATACTCCAGTCTGAATGTTCTGTGTCTTATTCTGGGTGATATAATGATAATAACAATTTGTGTTGATGATTCTAGCCTGGAGTAAGTCACACACAGGGCAAAATCTAATGCCTGTTCCAGATTTTAGAAAGGCCCAAAACACAGTAACACAGTATCTGATATTAGCTCAATTTAAATCTTGTTTTAAAGTTGAGTAATTTTTTGAAAGATTTCTGGAGTAATTTTTTGAAAAATTTTTGAAATATTACAGGTGGGATGACCTGTAGATTCCACCTGGAGGAATACAAATGGAATTCCTAGATGAATACAAGCTTTATGGGTCTGTCTTAGTAGAGTTAGGTTTTACGTATGTTTAAAAAACTGACCTTGGCTACTGCACAGGTGCAAGAATCTTTGTATTGGAAGTCTGTAGGAATCATAAGTTAAGAAAGAGACAACTTGAACCTGTCACCTGTGCAGCCACAGAGCTCTATTAAGTCTATTAAGAAGCTAATGTAAGCGTTGACTCCCTGTGGGGATTAATGTTATTCAAAATTGGTGCGTGATTTCACCTATTTTGTGTTTGCTCATCTTTGTGCCTTGCTCTTACTCTGTAATCTATTTTTTCATCTGCCTCTTGTAGAATACTTGGTGGAACTACGAGAATATGGACCTGTTTATTCAACCTGGGGAGGGCTGGAGGTTGAGCTATCAGAGCCACTGGAAGGAGTGTCTGCCTGTATTGGGAATTGCTGCACAGCTCTTGAAGAACTCAGTGAGGACATGACAGAAGACTTCCTGCCTGTGCTTAGGGAATATATATTGTATGCTGAGTCCATGAAGGTAAAGAGAGCCCTGTGGCAGAAAGCGCTGTCGTGTTTGCCTGGAATTAGCAAGTTCATTTGTTTTGAACAGTGAGAAATGGTGGTCATGGGAAAAGTGGGGAAGTAATACATTAAGTAGGAGGATATTTTCATAGTCAAAACACAGTTAGGTATGTTTAATAGCAGGGTACTGCATGAATAGCATTATCTGTCTGCTCTGCTCTTCAATCAAGCTAGGGTCAATATTATAGGGTGTACACAACATGTGCATCCTACAATAAATAACCAATGAGTTTCCCCTTCATTGGTTTGGCAGGTGATACTCTATAGGAGACTTCCAGTGGCTGCCTAGAATCTCTCTTTGAATTGAAGCTATTTGTGCTTCAGCTCTTCACTACTTCACTACAGAGTCACTGTGGGGTCCAACAGGAATTACAGCATTAGCAGTTTATGTCACTCATATGAAGCAGAGTTGGGTGCCTTATTTACGAACCATGTGTCCAAATGATAGATATTGCTTCCTCTGTCATCCCTATACCCTAGGCATGATATGTCAGTTAAGTTCTGCATACCAAGTAACTGCTTAAAGATGGTATTCTGTGACTCATAATTTTTAAGAACTTGATGTTTTACTGCTTACGCAGACATAATAAAAGCTACTTTAATGTGGGTTTTATTCTCTTGAAGTTATGGAGTGTTGGTAATCAATCACATCTAATGGGGAAAAGAATTACTGAGTTAACTTTACTAAAAAATTATATCCAGGACTTTAGTTTATCCATCAGAGCTTTTCACAACTTGCCTGTGGCACAGTATGTGTGCCATATGTATGTATCAGTCCCACTATGGGGTACTAGCATACAAGTTCCTTCTGAAGACTTATCATTTGGAACAACTGTTACAAGGCTGTGATATGCACTCCTTTACAGATCTAATAGCCCACCGTAAACTTACAGTCTTACATGTAGTCCTTACTTACATGGTAGTCCTTCTCTGTCTTAATGTCATCCTATGCTTCTCAAACTGAGAATTTAAACACTTTCTTGTGATCTTTTCCCAGCTTCAGGAGTTGTACATCTTTGTGGTTAAAGTATTCTTGCAGGTGGCTTTGCACTAATTCTCTGGGTATATTCTTTGCTTTTGTCACCATGGATTTGGCCCCAGCATGAATAAGTTGTATTTTCTTTATGGGTCTATTAACAGTAAAGTATTTCTTGAACAGAGTGAGCTGTAGGAAGCCTTGTCTTGGGATGTTTGGACTGTAGGAATTGGAGGTGGATGGAGTGTGATTACAAATAAACAGAGTGTGAGGCTAGTGATTAAATACTTTAACTCAGAACATCTGGCTTTTGATGCTAAAAATACCTACCAAAGATGGCATCTGAAGGGGCAGGCTGAATTGTGAGAGGTGCTCTTCAAAAATACAGCAGGGGAAATTTTTTTAAGCTGAAAGCCAGGGTTTCTTCAGCTGAAGAGGTACTTTAGGCAGATAATCACCACTCACCACAGGCAGAGTGGCCTTACAGACTTGCATCTAGGCTTCCTTTTGGTCTTTTACAGCCCTTTTAGAATGGCACTGTCTCCAAGCCAACACTTACTTTACTGTCTAAAGTACTTGTTCAGCTAAAGAAACCCTTGCTTTTTAGCTTGAACTGTTTAGACTGTTGACTTGACTTTCTAGTGCTCTAAAGAATTACGCTGTTTAGTGTCTGGCTTGGACATCTTATTAGCTTTACTCAGTCTAAAAATTTGGAAATCAAGAACAAAAACTATTATTAGCAAAGACAGACGGTTTGTATTTTCCTTTCTTCTCAAATAGCAAAACTGAACTCTCAGGTTCTACAAAGTGCAGTTTTCTTCTGTTAGAAAACATCAGCCTGTTTCTGTTTCTGAAGTGAGCAGCTACTGAACTGTCCTTGCAGAATCCGTAACGCTAAGTAAGTAACCAAAGTTAGTAAGGAGTGCACCCTTGGAGTGCAGGAGACTTTCTGTTGAAAGGGTGGTCCTCTTCACTAGCAGTGCATTCCTCTTCATCAGCTGCTGTGAGGACTGCTTGTGAGATGAAAGTCTGTTTTGTTCTTTCAGAGCATATCTTTTGCACAGGGTACTTGATGGAAGGTAACTCCTCAGGTACTAGGAGTTCAGTGAAACCTTGGTTAGCTTTCTTTGTTGTACACTGTACCCCTGGTGTAGGTGTGGGAACATGATCTATAGAGCAGTCATAGCTGAATGTCCCTTGAGTAAGAACTGCCAGATTATTGTCACTGTTCAGAGACGAAGAGGCCTTGATGTCTTCAGGAGCACTGTTGTACCTAAGGAGAAGAGCCTGAGGGAACTGCACCCCAGTAGTTCTGCTTGAATAGAAAATTGGTTGTTTCGAGGGAAGCCTAACCTCTGGATTTGTTTGAAAGATTTGCAGAACAGGGCAGAAGCTGGTGTTGTGTCCTTGAGTTAAAATGTGTGCTGGTAGTATCTGGAAGAGACCGACCCTTTCCAAATTACTTGCCTTGCTCAGCACTGGTTAGGCCACAACTGTCTTCAGTTTTTATCCCTGCTGCACACAAAAAGATGTGGATAAGCTGAAGAGGGTCTGGAAGAGGACCAGAGATGGTCAAGGGACTGAGAAGACTGCTGTATGAGGAAAGGCTGAGAGAGCTGGGTATGTTCAACCTTGAGGAAGAAGGCTTAGGGAAAATCTTATCACCACCTACTAGTATTTAATGATTGAGTACAAATATGATTAAAGCTCCCTTTTCACAAGAAGACCCATGGAAAAACGGGGACAGTCAGTGCAAATTACTCTTGGGGACATTTTCATTAAACACAAGAGGAGAATTTTCACAATGAGAACAATCATCCTTTTGAATAATGTCTCCAGGGAAGTGGTGGACTCCCCAACACTGGACACATTTAAGATCCAGCTGGACAGGGTGCTGATCCATCTTGTCTTTTGCCAAGAAGGGTAGGATGAGCTAATCCTTGAGGTCTCTTCCAGCCTGGTATTCTGTGGTTTCTATTACATGTCAAGGTGATGTCTCAGTTCCTGGTGCAGCGAGGCCCTTGTCAGCAAACATGGTACCACATTTGCTGATGTACATTGGTGTTGCCCTGGGAGGCATGTGCAGAGGACAAAATCTCCTATACACGATTCAGTGCATATATTAGGATGTTACATGACTTCTGTTTGCTCAACATTGCTATAAAGGTTTATCATGTGACGTGATCCCCCCGGGGTGTTCTTGGACATTACTTTTAAGGCATGTTTAAAGCAAGCACCACACTAGTAGGTAACTGTGTCCTTAAGGGCATGGAGTAACTAGAGATCCTCTTGTGATGTTTAGTCACAGTAGGAAGCTATGGAGTGTGCAAACAGGATTGAAATTTAAATTTGAAGTAAGATGCTGATGGCAAGCTCCTGAAAGCTCTGTGTGGGCCAAGGTGGAATGTTTCAACTAAATACAAAATGGTGAAGGACCTGCTGAAACTAGGCTAAGTCTTTCATGTTAAGATACCACTGGTATAGTTCTGGCCTGAAATAACTGAAGTGTGTTGATTGAGGTTTTTTAGTTTTGAGTTTGGTTTCTTCCAACTTTTTTTTTTAAAAAAACTTCTTTTCCCTCTGAGTGAGGCCTTAATGTGTATTGCATGGTCTGTGGTAATTTTGAGGATACTTGATGCAGAGCTTTTCATAATTGCTGCTAAAGCATCAAGGCATCAATCTAGAACAGAGGAGATTGCTTAAAGGTGCCAGAGGAAAATACCGGACAAGTGAAAGGGAGGGCAATATTTTTTTCGTTACCTACAGGTCAGCCATTACTGGATACTTAAAACCATATTCACAAGCTCATTATTAGTGGTCCCCAGTAGGTGGACTTGAGCGCTTAAGGGGAATTAAGACACCTGTTCTTTGAATCCAGTTTGCCAATAACTGTTAATCATTGGCTACTCCTGGTAGAGATTCGGCTTCCTGCACTAACTCCAGGCTTCTAAAGGCAAAATACAATTGCTGGAGGCAGTTGTTTTTCACAGAAGAAATTTCAGTTGATTCAGGTTCAAGAGGCTTTACAAAGTAGAAATAGCTATTAAATCTCTCAGACTTTTGTTGCATTGGTAACCTCAATCACTAAAGGCCATCCCAGATAGTTGCATAGATTCCAAAAAGAAGGGGCAGTGTTGCGGTTTTTCAACCAAACACAACCAGTGGTATGATTCTTCATCCTTTTTGGAACAAAAGGGAGAGTTGAGCTCTTGAAGGTGAATTCTTCAGGTTTGCCCTCTTTTTATTGACTAATCTAATAGTAGCTTTGTGGATGGAGTGCCATTCCCATTTATAATGGATTGAACATCCCTACTCTAGAGCAGCTGCATTGGTGACCTTCTCTTGGCTTAAGAAGGAGGAGAGGTATGATGATTAGTAGATATATGTACGTCCTTAGTTGCTCTTAATTAGATCTAGAGTGGCTGTTAGAGGAGTTACTTTTTTAAAAATATGTTTCAGTAGGCAGCACTGCACATAACTAGTCATGTGTTACTAGCCTTGTCTGGACGTGTTGCAATGAGTAGTTACTACTTGGTGTCCTAATGGGACAATTCCTTCTGGATGTCCGAAGGGAAGACTCAAAGCCAAGTTAGCTGCAAGAGAATTTCAAACTTACAGAGAGTGTTGGTTGACTCCCCTCTGAGCACTTTTAATAATAACTTTGCATCGACAGAGTAATTTAAAAATACGAGTTGTTTCTTTGTGGTGTACCACTTCAGTGTACCTGAAGTGGTAAGTTGCCTGCTCTTGCAGACACGAAGCTGTTTATTTTTTAGAAAGACTAATTCCTGTGGTTCTTTTCAAACTGTAAGATTGTAATATAAACTTGGTGAAGTTCTTTGTGGATATAGTACAAACTAAGGGTAGCATCTTTGCCTCTCTATTTTGAAAATACTCTGTCAATAAGATGTTTACTGCTTGAGAAGCTCTCTCAGGCAGTCCAGTGCTTTTCATGTAAATTGTTCTTTTCATAATTTTTTTTTTTTTTTAATTAAACCAACAACTAACCTCCCCCCCCCCGCCTCCAGCTGATCTAAAATAAAGGCTTGCTTTTGCTCTAACACTGGAATGTGACAGCTTGCTTAAAAGGATTCTGAAGAGTCTTTGCAAGTGAAAAGGGATTTGTAATACCTTCTGTGATGGTCTTCCTGTCTCTTAGCCAATGCTGTTGTCTGTCTGCTGCTTGAGGATATCCAAAACTTTACATTAGTCCTTGTCAGCTTTCATGTTTTTGTTTGTATCCTTTTCATGGTAGTAATAGGTCAACTGATTAATTAAATTTACTTGCTCAGAATTATATTAGTGGTTTCATGATTGCTTCTATATTGCATGCCTCCAGCTTATCCAAATGTTTAATTTTATATGCCCCTGCCAGCAAGTGCTGCTCATTATTAAAAGCTACTCCCTAAATGCTGTAAAACAGGACAGAGTATATCTGGAAGTCTGACTTTGGGCTTACTTGGCACTGAAGATGTATCACTTTAGAGTTTCTTGTGGCCTGGGGGAAAGAACAAGAGGATCCCTTCACAGCTCTCTTTTCTCTTGCCCATAGAATGTTTTGAAGAAAAGGGACCAAGTTCAAGCGGAGTATGAAGCAAAACTGGAAGCAGTAGCCTTGAAAAGAGAAGACCGTCCAAAGGTTAGCACTTAAAATTGCTCTACAAAAACAGTTTGCACTACAGTACTTCCTGAAATGAATGGAGAAGCAGAACTTGCTTTTTTCATGGATCTGGGGGCTTCTTTGCAGTTTAAGCAGTTTCTGGCAGAACAGAAATTTGTTGTTGGCAAGCTGGTGTGAAATAAAACCTAAGTATAAATATATGTAACTTGTCTAACAACTTCTGAACTACTGATCTCTCACAGTTCAGAGCAGGATGACTCTGTAACACTTCAACAACAGACAGCAGTCAGTTGGACTGTTCAGTGACAGGTTAACAAAGCAGTGGTGGAACAGTCTCTGGTGACTCAGCAGTATGTCAGCTCACTGAGTTAAAGTCCTATCCCTGGCACTGTGAAACTGTATTGTTGCAGAACCCTGGGTTTGGCTGTGGAAAACTCCTTATTTTGCCATTTCTGCTAGGGAGCTCTACCTGCATGATGCTGAACAGAGATGGCACTATGCATCACTGGATGACAGGTTTTGGCTGGGCACCATGCAAAAGCAAAGCTGTGAACTGACATGCTTATGCTGCCACCCGCTTCTGCATGAAACACAGTGCAAGAGCCTTTTCTTAAATCACTGCAGCTTTAACTGATGATGGCAATAGGGTTTGTTCCCTTCCTCTCTTTGGAGGTTTTTGGTTTCCCTTGTATTTGTGTTAATAATTAATGGGTGACTTTCCAGTATTATGACTACTATACAATAATGTTCACTCTACAGTAGGTTCACATAATATTTTGAATCTAAGAAGCTGAAGAGGATGAGAGCACAGAAATGCTAAAGTGTTTTTCTGATCTTTTGGCTATAAAAATAGTGGTGTACTAGGTATTTTGTGGTGCTCTTGTATTTGGGTCTACTATCTGTCCCTCTGCTGGCTAGTGTGGTATACACTCTACTTCCTCAGTGTAGCTTTGTATAAACAGGAGCTAGCAGTTGTATCTAGGATGGAGGGAACTAAACCTAGCATATCCAGCAAGCTGGTTCTTAGACATTTCACTGTACCAATCTTGCGCATGTTAAAAGTTCTTTGGATCTCATACCTCAGAGGGATTATTTTGAATAACTTTTGGAATACTTTTTTGAATACTTATATCTTCTCTTCAGAGTATCAGAATATTTTTTGGCAACTGTTTCACCTTTTTGTAACATAAGTAGTTTGTGTCATTTACAAGATGAAGTTGAACAAACTGTGTAGAACTCCTTGCATAGTTCACAAAATACTGTCTGTGGGGTTTTCAGAATCTTTCCAGCTGGAGGATGTGTCATTACCTGTAAGAGCTCAGAGCTGTGCCTAGAAGCATATCTTACATTCAGCAAGGTCTCCTGGCTCTATGACATGCTGGAAACTAAAAGCTGGCAGAGGGCTGCAGTCTCGCTTCCGCGGCCACAGGAGCTGACGGGTGCTGGCTAGCCGCTCCCAGAGTGACCGGTGGAGACCACAAATCCCGCCACTGCCAGGTTCTCTGCGAGAATCCCCGAGTAGTGGCTCCGTCTGCGACGTGGTGACGCAGGCGTGAGCAGAACTGCGAAGCACTGAGGTGAAGGAAGGAAGGAGCGGACACGCCTATGGGTGCCAAGGCGTTTTACTGACACAGGCGGGGCCAATGACGGTGTCAGAGAATGACCGTTGGGGAGGCACTGATAAAGGGGATGGGCGTGACGGGAGGAGACACAAGGGAACCAATGAACGAAGCCCAGGGAAGGAGCGAGGGACACAACTGAACCAATAAGAATGGCACAGGGGAGGGAAAAGGCTCAGGAGACAAATCATATCTTAAGTAAGGGATGATTGACAGAATAAAGTCTCAAAATAAAGGGGGGGTGGTTACAATGATGGACAGGTAACTGGCAGGAGGAACAAACCATTATGAGGGAGAGCATGGGGGGAACCGAGGGCCAAACCATAATCTTAACTTATAAAAAATAACCAACTTTACAATAAAACCCGCATAGAACACACCGTGCTGCAGAGGATCATGTTGTGGAATGGCGTTTGTCTTCCTTGGCATATTTGCTGATTTGGTTGAAATGATGTAAAAAGATCCCAAACAAAACTTTAAGAGATCAAAGGCCTTCTTTTAGATCTTGAAAGATAAGCCTATCACTACTTAAAAATCTCTCACTGGAGGACATTCTGGGACTCCTGTGCACATACCCAGCCTGGCATCACAGAGCTCACCAGGCCATTAGATTGTTCTGGCAGTGAGATCAGCCTAGAGCTCAGTGGCCTATGAGTGCAGAAGGCTTGTAGTGCTGCTGTGGCTCTCTGTCAGCAGCTACTGCTCAGAATGCTGAAGCTTACACCAAAAGCCACCACAGTGGCTTACACCGCAGTGTGGGTGGTGTTTACCAGTAGCATCATGGTGTTTGTGTGGTGTCTGCAGCCTTTCAGTTTCTAACATGTGCAGTGGTGAAATGCCTCTCACCCATTTCTGACCCATGCTGGAGCTGATTTTGCAGTAATCTAACCAGCACAATAAAGAATGGGTGTGGTTTTGTTTTAGTGAGATGAAGTTTGCCTCTGATGATCTGTTTTATTCTGTCTACCTCAAGGCTTTGAAGTGTGGTGATCTATGGGAACAGTAAATATGGCAGTGCAGAACTTGAAGTAGAAGGTGGGGGAAAAAGGCCTTGTAATAAATAACTGTTTCCCAAGAGCTAGGAAGGTAGAAATATTTTATGCAAAGATTGGTTGTCTAATTAATGCTGGATTTGTTGTACTTTTGGACCATTTGCTACTTGGTAATGCTGATATAGAAGAGTTTTAAAGTGGACATGCTGTTTGTAATTGAGCACACCAAATTACAGATATTAGGCAAGCTTAGATTTTAAGAGAACAGAATCATTGTGAAGAGGATTAGATGCAGATGCAGAACTTTGTATCACATATGTACAACTTTATGCTTAGTTCTTGCCTGCGTGTACCTCTCTCATCAGTTGAAATTGACTACTAAAATAGTCCTGGCCCCTTTAAGAGTGTGTTGGAGTTTCAGCAACAAGTTTGAGGGGCTTTTGAGCTATTAAGTAGTTGAGAGCAGGTATCAGTAAAGAAGTAGCATTTTCTCTGAGTCCAATCTACTGTCTTCCTGGTTCTTAGTTGTTAGCTAATATTTAGTGTCTCCATTGGTAAAAAGAGATAAAAGTATCAGCTTTGATGCTTCAGCTTGGGCTAAATTTGATGACAAACATATAATATCTCTGCATTTGAGTTTTCACTGATATAAAGTGCTTAAATGCTGTTAATTAACTTAAAATTTTGTCGTAACTACTGAATTACAATTTATGTACTAGGAAGCTGCAGTTTGTAAGGTAAGGCATTTGCACACCCAGATAGGACTGCTGCATGTGCAGACACTATTTTCATGATGTCTTTGGAGACTTAGTTGGAGTTAGCTGTTGTTGTTCTTAATGAGAGCACACGTGACACATCTCCTGACCACTGGGTTATCCCTGTAGCTCTAAATTCATACAGCCCTCTCAGCCTGAGCAGCCAGAGACTTGCTGTGAGAAAGAACAGATTTCTACATATCTTCATTGTGGTTTCAGATCCTGGCAGAAGAAGCAGGGAGCTGGTGAGTGCTTAGAAGCTAAGTTAGTTAGATTGGGAAATCTTACAGGGTTTTGCTTCCAGACTTCATAAATATTTCTCTTGATAGCCTAGATTTCCCCATTAAGATAGCAGAGTACTTATGATGCAAGGCATGCATGCCTTGAGGGGAGCATCCCCTAAATCTTACAGTCACTGGCTTGGTTGTTCTTGTCTGCAGCCTGTGAGGAAACTTCATCTGGAGTTGTAGCAGAGTGAATTCTGTAGCCATAGGTATAGTGCTCAGACATGGCAGTGAGAAAAAGTATCTACTGAACCTCCAAGCTGCCTGTAGTGTAAATTCAGTTGTGTGAATAAAGGGGAACTCAAATCCCATGAGTGTAAAGAGCTCCTGCATGTCAAACAGTTGGTTTATTGAAGAACAGATGTAAGACCTTCTCTGAGTAATAAAGTGATCAGTCCTAATCCATGTCCTGGAGCAGAAACACAGTCAGTGTGTTTCTGCCTAAATTGAGTACCTTGCCAAACTGCAAGATAGTAGCCCACCTCAAACTTCATGTAAGTATCCATGAAAAGCTTCTTATGTAGTCTGTTAATCCTCTTCCTTCTTTCACACTCCTCCAAGTTTACTAATAAAGTATCAAGTACGAGAGGAGCTATCCCAAAGTTCTTCAAATGTTCTTCATTCTGTATTTTGCCTTCGTACAAGTCACAGCTTCCAGAGCAAATGTTCACTTCTCACTTTGGTACCAGGATTCAGGAGTTTCTTCTTCTGAGCTCATGGGCTTAGTCTGCATGTCCTTACAGCATTCCTGTCTGTGTGGACCATGCAGCAGTGAGAAGGGAAAAAAAGGTGTTTGTCTTTCCTGCTTGAGGAAACACTAGTAAATTATTCCTGTATTTGCCTGGTGATATACATTATATTAGTTAAAACTAATATAAAGCAAAGAACACCAACTTAGTTGGTCTAAAGTGTGTGTACCTTTAGACCAACTAAGTGAGTTGGTCTAAAGGTAGGCGAGTGACTACTGTCAAAAATTCATTTAAATCTCTACCTCAGCTTGCAGCAGGCTGTCCTTCAAGATGTTGTTTGTTGCTTTTGCATGGTTGCATGTCCATTGTTGAGCCTAAAAGTCCATGAGCCAATCCCATGTTGATGATCACAAGTGCTGCGCAGTTAAATTTTGTTCAGGAAGCCTGGAATGTTAAAAGTGGAAGCTAAAAACTAAGGACTTAAAAATTTTATTCTGCAGTTGTCAATACCGAGGTGTCTTACCCACCTTTTTTGATAAACCTAAATATTGTTGTTATATACACACTGGTGTAAATTGGGACATTCCTACTGCAGCTGTAAATGGGAAGCAGAAGAGCTTGCTGTGGAGCTAAGCTGCTTAGTTTGAGCACTAGGAAGTGACCCTCAGTACCACAGAATGGTTTTTCTGTGCCTTTAAAAGGTGCTTCCTCCACGCCTCTATATCAGGCATAGAGATGGACAAGCACAAGCGCTCACCCACCTCAAACAGCAACAAACAAATTAAACAATCTCATATCCTCTCTAGTTCAGAACCATAGCTTTTTCCCTGCAGCCATAACTCAGTTGATTCAGGATAACTACTGCTTTGTGAACTTACCCTTTCTTCTGTAGTTCTGCTCAGTAAGGTTTGAGCTAATTCAGCAATCTAGCACTCTTACTGACAGTTTTAATCCTCATTTATCTTGCTGCAGGTACCCGCAGATGTTGAGAAATGTCAAGACCGAGTAGAATGTTTCAATGCTGACTTGAAAGCAGATATGGAGAGATGGCAGAACAACAAAAGACAAGACTTTAGGCAGCTACTCATGGGGATGGCAGATAAAAACATCCAGTACTATGAGAAGGTATGTGTCACTGTTGGAGCACTGGCCGGAATAAGAGTAGTTTATTTTCCTCTGAAATGGTGATAATTCTTCAGGAAATCTTCACACTGTCTTGAAGACAAGAATATTAGACATCTGAAGCTGCTCTTTGTCAGAGTTGGAAGTTGTGGTCAAGTGAACTCTGTCAGACTAGTGGTCTTTTGCAAGTCAGCACTCTAACAGCATTTTATCATGCATGCTTGTCTGTTTTGCACTTTTGAATTGAACAAATTACTGAGCAGCAGCGGTAGTGATTAAAAAACCCCCAGAATTACACATACTAGTAATACTATGAGAGTAGAAAAATCCCTTGATTCTGCCTTTTCTGAACAAAACTACATGAGTTAATGCACGGCCACAGACTCATACATAGATTTAACTTATACATCTGCTATGTATAAGTTATTCTAATTCCTGTCCCTTTGTGCATCATTCTGTCCCTTGTATATTAGTCCTGAAAACAGCTAGCCTCTGCCCTTTTTCAGTTGGTGTATTTGTACCTGAGGTTTAGTGTTAGATTTTTTTTATTTTTAATTAAAAGGACGTTGACATTTAGCTGCATATGCTTCCAATCTAATTTTCTTTTGTGCTAGAACAGTGCGGCCCAATGCAGTGGTTGATACCATAGATCACAGCACAGAATGGTTTGGAAGGGACCTTAGAGGTCATGTAAGTGTCAACCTCCTGCTAGAGGTAGGGATGCCTTTCACTAGAGTAGGAGATTCAGAGCCCCATCCAGTATGAACCAAAACCACTTGCAGAGATGGGGCATCCACAGCTTCTCAGGGAAAGGTGTTCCAGTGTTTTCTTATTCTAAAAGTAAAGAATTTCTTCCTAATTGTCTAATCTAAACCTGCTCTCTTCCAGTTTAAAGCACTGTCCCTTTTCCTATCACCACTAGCCCTTTAAAAAGTCCTCCTCCAACTGTCTCATAAGCCCCCTTCAGGTGTATTAAATATTTATGAAATATTAAACACTTCTAGAACTACTAGGCTTATGCATTGCCTAGTAAACTATACTTAATCTTGTCTATTCATGTTTACACATCTGTTTTACAAGCTTCTTCCTGTGCTAGGTTACCTCTCCATGTAATATTATATGCAGTACCTTTTCCCCTTCCAATCATAGTTCATAACTGCTCACACAGAACTTCCTTCACCCTGGTCTCTCAGTTCTAAGGCTGCTGTGGAGGGGAATATTAGAGACTTCACTGAACATCCAGTAGTGCCTCTGCAATTGACAGTTAGATCTGTACATTAGTTTTGCTTTTAGCAAGAGGGTTTTTTGGTCAGAAAGTGTCCAGTCGCTTCAAGGTACACAACTAGAAGTACTCTATTCATCTGCAGTACAATCAGCAAGGTTAGAAGGAGGATGTCTGTCAACAATGACTTGTGGATATAAGAGCTGCTGATGAGTTTGCCCCATTTCAGCATTTAATAATTTGGATTTCACAGTCTGCATTTGCCCACTTTGACTTCTGGGCTCTATGTGGTTGAAAGACAGTAACAACATACAGTACAAGGATTGTAGTAAGTGTATGTGTCTGGGGAAATGACTCCAAAGCCTGGAGTGGCTTTCTAATAACCCAGAAACTCCACTTACAGTTCCCTATACCAGGCACTACCAGTTTGTCCTGTAGTGGAGTTGAGTCCCAGAGCCATACTGGAATACACCGTGTCTCAGAATTAACATCCCTAAATGCATGTTTTCTTTCAAATAAGTTTGCTGGATTGTTAGCTGCTATTGTGTCCAAATCAGCCTTCACCCACAGTCACACCACAAAGATGTACATTTCTACTCAAAACAGTTCATCTGCCTAGCTGAAAGCTGTGATATTCTTCAGCTAGAAAAATCTAGGTTAGTATTTGGAAATCCTGGATGTTCTGATGATTTTTAATGGCTTGGGCCAGCTGATGACTTTGGAAAACTTGAATTTGTTGAATTTGTTGGGAAGGTGCAGCTATTTTAATGCTTCCTTGCTGTTTGACATCTGGTATTTTTTCCCCCTTCTGTAATAATCTGTAGAGACCCACATTACTTTTCTTCAACTTGCATGCTGTTGGTCTGGAAGGGTTGGTCAGAAATCACATGAACTGATACAAATTAAATTTTGTAAATCTTTCTTTCTTCAGTGCCTTACGGCGTGGGAGTCAATTATACCACTATTGCAAGACAAGCCAGAGACCAAATAAGAAGTACCTTCATGGACAGTCTAGCACTTCTGTGCTCAGTACCACTAGTCATACTGGAACTGTATGGAGGACTCTTTTTGTTAAGTTAACTGAAATGACAGCTGCACTTAGTTTTTCAGAGTATCTGTTCCAGCCTATTTGAAATTTTTTTCCTGAATTTTTGTGTTTAAACAGGGGCATGTTTCATCTTTTTGAGTTATCTTGAATGGTTCCTTCTTTATTCTATGGAGTGATTGGGGTTCACAGAGAAAGTGCATGGGGATCTTGATAAAATTTACCTCTCTAGTCTGGAAGGAACTGATGAATGGAACACTAAAAAGATGAAAATAAAACTCTACTGCAAGGTGCCAAATGACATCTTTATTACCATTCTGTTTTAACCAATCCTTCTCTCTATTTTTTTTTTTTTTTGAATGGACAAAGAAAGGCTGGGAAAGAATATTTTCTGTTTTGCTACCACCTGTGTGCTCCCTCTGGATGAAATGGTCTCTGTAGACTTTTCTGTCCAGGAATCAGGCTGGTTCTAGACAGACCATACCAGCACCAGCTGCAGATGGCTGGTGATGGAAGCATGAGCTGTGGTTTTTGTGAGTGTGGCATGCTGTTGGTTCATACTGAGTATCTTTGTTTACCTTGGTGATTATGAAGTAATGTCAGTTGACTGAAGTGTACTTGTGACTGACTTGGGGATCAAAAACCAGCTTAGCTACGGGAATGAGTTGGACTGCTGCCTTTCAGGGGTTGTGGGAATGGGGAAGGATGGGTCTTTTAATTTTCCAAAGCTAGCTCTGGAAGTTGCATGGTGGAGATCTCTTATACCATGCTTTATGTATGGGTTTTACTAGAGCCACTTTAGGCTTGGTCACCTAAGATGCCTGCTGTAGTAAAAGTAGAACTCTTTTCTTTCTCCATGCTTTATTTGCGGCAGCCAAAAGCCAAAAGGTGTCAAATGCTTCCTTCCACCAAGCATCAGAGTGTGTGAAACTTGCCTTAAATGGGTTGGTGGGGGATAGATGGGTACCCTATTAGGTTCATACCTGTCTCTGCTGAACCACATGGCAAGTTTTTTAGGGCTACTTTTGTTACAGATCTATTTTCTTAGTAGCTTCTGTTGGCCTTTAGAATTGCAGCTGCTTCTGCAAGTCCCTTTTTTGTCCTTGCTCTTGCAATCCAACCTCAAGTAAATGCCTGCTTGGTGTTAATGGCCTTAGGCCTTAGGAATGCTGCCGTGATTTAACAATCCTAGTGCAGGGGGTTGGGACTCATATGAGTGTAATACTGAGATTTAGGGCAATAAATAACTCTGTGCTTACTTTCTAAATTGGAGTGATTACTTGTTCTCTGGCAACGTTCTTGCAAAGAATGTGAGCAGTGATTGATTTTGTGGAACTTCTCTGCTCTCCTGTAACAAGGTACCCACCAAGTACTAGTCTGATTTAGAATTTATTCCTTCATAAACACCAACTGAACATGCAGCCACCCTTCTCAGCCTGGTGGCTTTATGGAACTCTCAAGATGAGTTATTGCAGCACTGTGGTAGCTGTCAGGCTAATGAGATGGTGCTCTCTGCATGAAAAAGTAAAATATAAGACATTTTAAGAAATTTTTCTTTTTGGCTCAGCCTTATTGTCAGCTCTGTGGTACTAAACAAACTATGTTTCTTGTTTAAGATCAGTTTGTCAATATGCACTTTTTGGTGTAAATGAGAACTCTGGTTTAAGTTACTGTTAGGTTCAGAATCACAGACTCCTCTTTTTCAGGGGAAGTACTTAAGGGCATCATCTTGAAGTAATCTAGAATAAGCACTTGCATACTATCCAATAGTCTGTCCTTCAGGGTTACAGTCTTCCCCATTTTCCACGAAGAAAGATCAACATGCTTTTTGAATTAGTTCAAAAAGAACGTGGAATGAATGGAATTTTGTAATTGACTCTACAACATCACTGGGACTCAAGCAAAATATACCTTGAACTAATATTTAGTTGGTCTTCCCACCATCTTAGTAAAATAAACAGCACAAGATGAGTAGAAAGAATGGTGATTTCTTTCCTGCAGGTGGTTTCATCTGATGCCTTACAACACTAAGGGAGTCTTCCTGCTTTGCTTTATGTCAAACTGAAGTGGGTGTTGCTTTTGGGGAATTCAGCAATTAACATCACAGCTGTTCAAGAGAAGCATAATGGACAGCGGAGAGTACCAAGTGAAGCTCAAATCAGCATGTAACTGTTGAGGCTGGAGCTGCTGAAGATCAAGCTACCTTACATGATCTGGACTGAAACCTCTTAAGCTCTTACTAGGGCAGTAAAACCTGGCATTCAAAGGAAGAATCCTCTGCAGGAGGATTTGCTGCAGTGTAATAAGGGTGTGCATAGGTGGATCTCAGTTTCTACAGACTGTGGAGTGGTCTGTTCTTATGAAGAGCTGTTGTAAATCACAAGGTGACTGAGGGAGAGGCTGTGGGTGAGGTGTGGGGAGGATCCTGATTGTGATGTTTGGGGCAGCCATGCCAGTCAGGAAAAGTACAAAAGTTGCAGGAAATTCCTGTAAGATGCAGAGTGACACTTGTATCACATAACTGTTGTTAGAAGGAAGTTGAGTCCTGAACTGACAGTAAAACTCTTAATATGTAATCCTGTAGTCCTTATAGAATGAAAGTCTTTACTTTGGATGGTCTACACTTCCCTGGGAGAAACAGAAGATGTTGGTAAAGGGAAGCAAGAATAGTGCAGGAGCTTCATCTTTGAGTAACTTGTTGAATGTTAAGTCACTGAAGATGACTCTCTGCATGTGCACCAAAATGACACCAGAAGTAGTTGGTGCCCTTTTTATGAGCCTGTTTAAAATGTGGTTCTTTCAGCAGTCCTTAAATCAGCCCAGTTTTGCTCATAATCCATAACCGGGGCAAGGCCCTTGCAGGGGATGCATAATTCACTGCTGCCCAGTTACTTCTGTATAGTTTCTGTGGTGTTTGTTTCTTCTGTTAAGAGGCACCAGCACAATAAAGCAGACACTGAGCTCATTTCTGTGCTCAGTATGAACCATGTATTGTTCATGTATACCTTTATCAGGATCTAAATCTTGCAATAAACATAGATGTTAAAACATCATGGCTTTTTCAGGTATACATTGAAAAATGAAAAGGTAATATGTGTAGCCCTAAAGACACAAACAGTTTTGGTGTGAATTATATTAAAGAATAAAGTATGGATTCTTCACTGAAATCTACTTGGATTTTTGCTGCACTAAAACTTATTCTGAGGATAAAGTAGTGGAATAACTGATAGAAACAAAGCAGGAGTGGCAGAGACAGTTCTGTGGAGGCACTGTGCAGTAGTCTTGAAGCAGTGGCTCTGCATAGCCTGTTCATGAAACATTTCTTCAGCTGTCAGTCCTGCAGATGCAAGGGTACAAAAGAATTCTATCCCAGATAGCAGGGACGGTTCATTATTTTAACAGGAGCCATGCTTTTGTTAAACTTGCACAATTTAACTGGATATCATTATGATTATTGTTGCAGACTGTTGAAAATCCTTGTCCTGATCATCACTGTACAAAATTGTATAGACTAAATTAGCTCGTTAGATGTTCTGTCATCTTAAATTCTGAAGGTAGAACATTCTTTCCTTGGGTGTATTAAACTTTTACTACAACAACACATAGGGAAAATCAGGACTTTTTTTTTAAAGACAGGCAAGTTGCTACTACTTGTTGGATTATTTTTTCCTCTTGTGAAGTAAAACTGGGGATCACAGGAAAAAACTTGCCTTCTGGCAGACTGAATGTGGAATTTAAAACTTTTTGGGAGTACTGTCAGAACCAATTTACAAATGAAAATGGCAGTGCTTATTTCTCTGCTTAGCACTTGAAAGTCCTGCTGAAGTATCTGACTTGCAGAAGTACTTAGTAATGAACTGGACAGGTTTTAAGGTTGCATGCCTAAAGCACAGTGAATTTGCAGAAAATAATGAGCTTTCCAAAGAGGCACAAGTAGATCACCCTTATGTAAATGGCATGCTAAGACAAGCATGTCCTAGACTACTTTGAAGGTCTTGGTATTCTATGCTTTGAAGCAAACCATTACCTTAACCTGGTGCTGGGATGTGTATCCATACTTTCAGATCAAGCTGCAGCGTTATGGCCAGTGCAACATTCCCACTGCGCAAGGAGACAGGTTGCTGAGGGCCAGTCTTACAATAAGAGCCAAAGGGCTTTTGTACAGAACACAAAAATAAAGAAGCACCGTCCTTGCTCTCGCTTCTCTGTGACTGTATCCCTCTGTCACTCCCTAAGGTCTGGAGAGCTGTGAAGGCAAGCTGGCTGTGAGCTTCACACACTGTGTTGAAGGTGTCAGTGATGGGGACCAAACGGTGCTGGTTCCTTGTCCAGACTCTTCTGCTTTCACTCTGTAAACCTACTCACCAGAACTAGAGTCACTGTTCATACCATTAAAATACAAAATGAAAGCTGTGAAAATACTTGTCTCTGTGTGAATTAGCTAGTAAACAATGTAAAAATGGGAAGGAGGCTTTTGTTTCCTGTACTTGGTCAAATCTGGCAACAATGCTCTTGTTCAGACTCGCAGGCTAGGAAATGTTGTCTTGCCTTCTGGTGCTGGCATGTTTCTATATCCTTTCATATATCTCTTTAAATATATTTTGTGCATTGTTTACTATGGAGATAGTATTGATGGAGAAAAATGCTTTGAGGTAAAACTGTTTGTAATTCTCTATTACTGTGTAAATTTTTTTAAAATGCACCATTTGTTTACCTCAATTAATTTAATGGAATGGACCAATAAATGTATTAAAAGATGACTCCTTTACTTAGAATAAAGTTTCAATTTTTTGCGGTCTTCACTGGTGAAATGATGCATGTGCTTGTTTTTTTCAGCAGCTCACTATCTTACTGCAGAAATACCCTTCCCGTAAAATCTTCCATGGTTGATCTAAATAGAAATCATCTGACCTGTTGTTGCATTACTTCTGATACTGAAAGTGAAGGAGCTGAGGAAAGATTGCGGGGGCGGGGGGGGATGGATGGGGGGGGAACAGGGTGACAGCAACTTCCTCAGAGGCAGGAATTGTGTAATGATGAACCAGCTTCTGCTTACTATACCCCTGGCTCAAACAGAAGCTGCCTGATTTGCCTCCAGATTATTTCAGTTATTTAAGGGCTTTTAACTTTCCTTTACTTAGTCCAGGACCTTGGAAGCCACTTAATCCTTCTTAGTTCAATTAGCATGTAAGCAGACATATCCTTGTGAGACATGCCACACTTTTGACTAATGTTTGGATTTATGTGACATCATCTCATGCTAGCTGCTGTATGGTATGAGGTTCCTTTCCAACCCAGATAAAAGCTTTGGTAACACAGTACTATTACATGGTATCAGTGTCCGTACAACTCCATAAATCCTGTAGGAGCTGTATGCTGCACTTAGCTGTTCTTTACCTGTGACAAGAGTAGCACATTGTGGTGGTATGAGTTGAAACACCAGCATTAGCTCTTGAGTCTTAGTCCTTGCATGAGCTCTGTTGAAGCACTGTCCAGTGTGACATTCTCCCAGAAATCAGGGACATGAACATCTGTTCAGGGTTGTTTTATTGTAGGGATTACTAAAGTTCTGTTAATCTTACATATTTTTAAGGTGTTATTTCTCTATTTAATGGTCTTGTACATAACATTAATTGGCTGGGCTGATAACATCTGCAGGAGATGGAGAGCTGGTGTGTCGTGCTGATGGACCTCTGCATGTGGCATGTGGTTTGCAGCTCTCTTTCATCAGCCAGAGTCACAGAACTGCCCTGAGATTTCTGAATGAACAAACAAGAAGGAAATGGAATGGAAAACCAATCTTCTGCTTTCCGCTTCCTCTCTGAACGATGTGTCTGGAAATGCCACTTTCATTTCTAGCCTATATCCTTGTGCCTCTTTGGTATTGCTGACCAGTGTAGCAAAGAGCAGAATGCTCTGAGGACTGCTGGTGTGCAATAGCTAATGCACATACTCTGCAGGATGAGGTGTGTGCTGCAGAAATAACAAGGAAAACATCTCTTCCTGGGCGAGAGGCTTAGTGGCTCAGTGGTTGTGGCATGCTGTGAAGTGGAAATACAAATGCTACATATCCTATTGTGTTGGTAGAGACTAATGATAACAACCAGAAGATGCCTCTGTTACTCAGTCAGAATCTCAAGGGAGCCAGTGGTTGACCGTTGTTTGATGGCCACAAAGCTGTAAAGAACAATAAAAAATGCAGATAATAAGAATTAGCAAACTACCTTCTCAAACTGCAGTTTGCTCTTTCCACATCTATGTCTTAAACTTTGCTGGGGTATCTGGAGCTGGCTGCGTGCTAATGGCATTCCTCTCAATGGTCTGCCAGCCTCTCTTGTGTGCATTCAGTGACATTGGCACCATCTGTCATCCCTCATTTTATTAACCCGTGTTTGTACTGGTAATGGTACTTCTATTTGGAACCTGTATTAAAAAGCATTTGAGTAGCTAGCAGTGACCCCTGTTAGAGAGAGGGTTGCATATAAGAAACAAGTCTTTTGGGTCTGGAAGATCTGAGAAGGAAAGCAGACCCAGTGGAATGATGAGTAGAAGTAGCCTTCCTCACACTAGTAGTCCTGAAGTCACTGATTGTCAAATGCATTCACAACCCCAGAAAGCCTTTGATGCTCTGGATAAAACAGAGGTGGTGGTGGAGGAGCTTTCCTTACAGGCTCTGCTTCCTGTCTAGGTGGTGCAGCTGAGGTCAGTATACTTTGTCCTTTCAGACTTTGTACTACTCTATTTTGTTTAACTACAGCAGAGCTAGGCAAGAATTTTGCCTAGAGTGAGGCATTAGCCTATCCAGTACATGCCTTACATCTGAATGAAGATATTGTTCTTACGTGGATTAAATACTGACATTATCACAGTTCACTTTATACAGAAAGAATCTTGCCGTTTCTAGTAAAGCAACAAGCTGGAGAGTCTTGGGGAGGCTCTAATGGACAAAGTGAGACTTGGAGGGAGATCCTTCAAGAATTCTGTAAAAGTAGGTGGAGGGGTTGTTTCAGCTTTCTCTCTTCAGATTAAACTGGTTTTGTGCTTAAAAGTTGTTCCTGAAATTGTACATCGCAGTCACTCCATGGTGGTACAGTTGGGCAAATTCAATGGACCAGAAAAGTAACCATTTCCTCCACTGTGGTAATAGTGTCTCTTTGAAACATTTGAGGAAGACTGAAATTATTCTTTTCTCAATGGATAAGTAACATTTAATGGAATTTTAAAAAAACATTTTACTTTGTGTAGGGTTATTCCTTCATTCTACTTACTACTATTTTCACAGTACCAAACAATTACATTTGGGTGAATGCTTTGTCCCCGGGATTATCTGTTAAACTGCCAGATACTCTTCCTACAGCAATTCATGTTACATTAAACAAAAATAAGATTTAAAAAAGCACTTGCTAGACATTGCAACTTTCATTCTTTGAATCTCTTTGATATTTGTTAACTCATTTCTGCAAGTTTGGTTTTTTCCCTTTTTTAAAAAATTCAATTGGTGTGGGGTGTTGTTTTCTTTTTAAAATTCTTTCCTATCTGCTTTATAAATTTTAGACCTAGAATCAGGAAGTACAGAGAAAATACAGCATGTCTCTTTCAACAAAATCTTTCCCATTTCTTACCTTAAAGGGAGGAGACTCAGGCAGCCAACTAGAAAAGACAAAATGAAGCAGAAGCCGCTGTACCAGTCCAGTGTGTTTTGATAGATCTTGTTGTAGACTGTAGATGTCACTACTCCCGTGGTGACTAAAGACAGCTGCAGCAGGACAAATACCTTACCTGTAAGACAAGAACATAGTTTGTTGCTGGAGATTAACAAACCAGCTGTGGTATCTCCCTGGCAAATCCAGGATCACAATTGTGTAGTCATTGCTCCACTAACCCCACATGGCATGAGCTTGTATCTGCTTCTGTTCTAGACAGCAATTAAATAATTTTTCTTTTTAGGTGTTGGACAAAAGATTCAACTGGAAAACTGTCTGCCTAAACAGTCTACATATAAAGGTAGTTGCTTGTAAGAGCAGCAATAAACTGCTCAATAAGTGCTCCTTTTCCTAGAGGTAGAAAAATAGTCTAGAGCTGACATCTTCAGGATGATGGAGACATTTTAGTCAGGGTCTGCTTCTGGCCTAGGCCAGAAAAGTGATTCACAGGGTTGAAATTACAATAATGCCTGAAATGGGGATGTGTGTGTGATTTGTATGATATTTCATGTGGAAGAAAGGCAGAAACTGAATTCTAGTTGAAGCCACTCTTTACTGAAGGGTTTCTGTCATGGTAAATGGGCGAAAGGGAAATAACCCAAGCCCGGCTGGGACTTGCAGACTGGGGGCAAGGTCAGGGCTATGTGCTGAGCTTGCTGCCCTTGTAGCATTCTGCAGCCACTCAGCACCAGGAGGTGAAACTGCAACCAGAAGGCAAGTGCTGCTCTGCTGCAGGGTCCTACTCGAGATCTGGACTGACGCCATCATCATATGCAGCCCATATGGCTCAAGGTGGCGATTAAAAATGTTTGATTTATAGTGGTTAATTTGGGATGTGAGCTGTGCTGTTTGTGGCAGGGAGATGATTTTGCTGTGGTGGATGTTGAGGGAGCACAAGCAGTAGGAATGAACTGGTGACTGAGCAGTGTCATGTTCATATGGGAGAAAGGAAAAGGATGTGTAGGCTGCAGAGGAAACTTGTTTGGAGGAGGCATGAGCAGTTGTGGGCCTGTGGTGCTGTTTGAATGAATGGCCAGTCCTGTATCTTGTGTCTAAATCTAGCTCATTGGGGTAAGGTAAAAATGGTAGGCCTCAATATGCTGCTGTAAAATACATTTTACTAATTTTTATTATGTAATTTAATGGAAAAGAATTCCAGCCACTATTCCAAGAAGGGTCAATTTTTATGCAAAAGCTATTCTTTGTAGTTAAATCAGGTGCGACAGGAACAAACTGCAAACACCTGAAGAAATCTTTAGAAAGCATAACTGAAAAAAAGATTAAAATAATCCATCCTTCCCAAAGATGGAAGCAAAAGAAGCCAGATATAAATGGTGCGACTATAACAGTGCTTCAACTCAATGTCCTGCTTTTCTTGGCTCTCCCTGCAGTACTTTGTTTTTGAGAAGCACCTCAGCTATTTTCCCTACCTTTGAACTATGCACTAATTGTAATGTTTTGAAGTATGTGCTGAAAATTCTGTTGATAAATGATGATGCAACCAAGGACAAGAAGATTGGATGTGAGAATCTTGTCCAGCAAGTTTCTCTGCTTCTCCCTTCCTGTTTGTGGTATCGTTTCCTCTGGTATTATTACACAAAGCACAGATTGCAGCAATAACTTACTTTTCTCTTAGTACTCTAGGCTGAATAAAGGGCTTTCAGGGGGTTTTGGTTGGTAAGGTAACCAAAATACTCACCATAGGATGATCCTTCAACATGCTTGGACAACATGGACCTGATAGTTGGTAAGGGGATGAGGGCAAAGAGCATCACTGCCCGTGCTGTAATGCAATGAATTTTGAGTTATCACCAGTATCTGCTCTTTGTGATCCAGCACAGCCACTGCTTTTGAAGATTATATGCCACTGGCTTGGACAGACACCTTGTCTCACCTTTTCTCTGCTAAAAAAAGCCACCTATTGCTCCCATTATCAGAGGTCCTTTGCCCAAACTAGACACGGTCTCTTGTTCTCAGCCAGACATCCCAGTGTGGATGGGATCCTCCCTCTCCTTTGAGATCCATGAGGATGATGATTTAAGTTTTAACATGCAGAGAGCCCTCTGTGCTACACAGCCTTGACAGGAACAGTACTTTTATAACAGTACATCTATCTTGCATCTTGGTGCTTCTGGCTTGCAGTATTCTAGCCTGTCTCTACTGTGAAAATCTGTGGGGAGCTGGAATTACCTTCCTGTCAGCAGAACCAGCCTCAGTGAAAACTTGGTCCATGTCTAGTGTACCAAGGTGTTTCTGCAATGCAGGGAATAAGCATCCAACACACTGCATAGCAGCAGGCCTTCAGGATGAAAATAAGCTTAATTATTAAGTAAGCTTTTTTATTTTTTACTTAATTTTTTAATCTTTTTTCCCCAGCTTGATTGGCTAAACAAACATAATCTCTTAAAATTTTCACTCAGTGTTTGGCTTAGTACACAAATACAATATCCTATCATCTTTCCCTTTAGAAAAACTTTGTTTACTTTTCAATTCCCCATTCCCTGTAGGGACAGACAGAAAAAGCACTTCAGGGCATTTATATCCAGTGTCTTTCTCATTCTGAGAAACAAAACCTTAAAGCCATGCAATAGATAATACTCTGTGAGATAGCTCTGGCACAATGCATGCAGTTCTTGGATTTTGTTTTTCATCACAGGTTAGCTCCCAGAAGTAAACTTCCCTTTCCTTTATCATGGGATGCTGCCCCATCTATTCTTACCTGTCCCTTAGTAATTTATGTAACAGTGTGAGATCTGTAAACTACATTATTGTGGTATTTTACAACACCAATGTTTCATTAAGTTTCCCATCAGCTGTAAGTGCCTTCATATGACAAAAATAAATCACACCTTAAGATGTTCCCATAATAGGAAGCCTTTGCCATTTTGCTTCTGTTGTAGCCTTAAGCCTTGCCTCAAAGGAAGCAAGTGCTTCCTATTGCTGCAGTGGTGCAATCCCCCTAGTACAGGGAGTCAGCAACAATTCCCAGTCTCCCAGAGTGTGAACACTGTTCTGCTCAGATCTGGTGTGTGACCAACTGATGAATTACAAGTCAATGAGCCTTAAACTAATCCTTGGCAGACGTGTATGCCTCCTCAGGATATTGTTGAGTGCTGAGTCTTAAGAGTACTAAGGGAGATGTGGGGAAAGAGGACTAAAAAGAATGCTTTCTTGCAAATTGTTCCTGTGATGATCTGCCTAACTCCCTGCTTGCAAATTTGCCACAAAGCAAAGCAAAAAGCCCTTCCAGTGATGTTGAAACACCCATTTCTCAGCTGTATTTGCTCATGTGCATGACTGTTCAACTCACCAATGTAGAACAGGAACGTCCACTGCACGAAGGCCATAATGAGAATGCCAGCACTGAATGAAGCTACTCCGATCATGATCATGGTAATATCCCTCATATATCTGGAGAACACAAGAACTCCTAGGAAACTGGTAATGAAGATCACATACCCAGCAGCATTGCCGTGGCCAATCTCCACAGCATTCCAACTTAAAGGTTCCCTGAGCAAGAACAGTGGGAGTACGTTCATGGCACCAACCACAGCCAGGTCATAGAGTATTGCTGCCACAAACAGCAGGATGATGATGAGCTTCGAGGGTGACACTGGAGTGAAAATGCTGTTCTCTGAAGGCTGGGAGCTCCCTGCTACCACTGCTTCTGGTAGCTGACCACCTACCTCCTCTGCACTCTTGGCTTTGGCTGGGCAGGAAGCTGCTGGCTTGGGGACTGTGAGGACAAAAATGCTGTAGAGGAGACAAAAGGCATAGCAAGCAATGCTGCAGCACACCAGCACAGTGCCTTCTCGGTAGCGGTCGCTGAAGCCAACAAAGAGGTAGCCAGATGCCATGCTTCCCAGAAAGCCAGCCAGGCCATATACCAGTTCAATAATGATGAGCCGCAGAGACCTCTTGCTTTCAGAGGACCCCAGGGATCCCAGAGCCATGATGCCTGCCCAAAGTGTGGTGAAGCCTCCTGTCAGCCCATTTAAGGCAGCAGCCCCATACATCACCTCCACTGGCCAGCCCAGCAGAATCAGGAGGAGCAGGAGAGTTTTGGAGCCCAAATAACCAAGAAGAGGGAAGCAGATGGGGATCTTGCGATGTATCCTGTCCCCCAGCTTGGATAAGCCATAGGCTGACACCAGGGGGCTCAGGCCCAGAACTAGGTTGTAGATGATATAAAAATTAGATACAGCCTTCTGCTGAGCATCTTCCAGGACGTGGGAGGGAGCAGTGCTGTTGGTCTGGTTGTAGTAGTTCTTCACTACCAGCAGCAGTGCTGTGTCGTAGAAGGCACTGGCCACTTGGGAACCCGCGACCACTGGCTCAATCCACGTCCTCATTGACATTATTCCCACCATGCTGCTAGCTGCCACCTCTTCTTGGAGAGAGCTGCTTTCAGCAGTGTTTAAGGAAACAGCATGCGAGGAAACAGCTCCTCAGAAGGTCTGCTCTGGAGGCATGTTTAGAAACAAGCAGCAAAAGGTCTGCTGGGCTGCACAGGACTGGAGAGTTGTGCAAGAGATGATCTGGCTGGCAGGATACTCGCAGCTCACCTTGCTATGTGTACACACACCTGCACATCCCTGCGCTGCTCTGAGCTCTGGCTCAGACATGGGAGGCTTTTGTACAGCCAGAGAACGCCCTGCACTCATCAACTGCTGCTGCTCCTCTTCCTGGTGTAGTTTCAACAGAGGTCAGATGACCTGGGGAATTTCTCTCTCCCAGAATAGGAAGTGAAAATACCCTGATCAAGTAATTGCTGTAATTTGGGGTGGTGGTTTGTTTTTTGTTTGTTGACATTTTGGGTGGTTTTTTTTCTTCTTTTGGTATCTTTCATGTGTCAGAGAACTCTCAGAGTGGTTGTGGGGGCAGGGAATGGCTATGTGCCTTTTTATCAGATAATTTGTGAATTCCCCTTTACTCCCAGCTCATTTTTCTTTTTTTCTACACAAATATGACATTGTTTCTTTTGCTTTTACCGGCTTCTCTATTCCCTGTTGCTGTATCATGCCCCTTATGTCATTGTTGTTTCAATAATGCAGTCAGGAAATTACACCAAAAAGAAATTAAAAGGCGAAAAGTCTATTTCTGGTAACCTGTCTCCTGTGGCTGCCACTCTGCTTGCTGCATCCTTTGGCTTTACAATGTGGGAATTTGCAAGAGGAGGCAATTTATCCAGAGGCATCAATGACTGCTGTGTCTCAGTAATCAGCCAGCTCACCTGCAGGCTGAGGTGGGTGAGAGTCCACCTCTGGAGAAGAGAAGAGTTTCCAGCCCTAGCTCCTCAGGGAGATGGCTGTGCATCTCTTCAGGTGCTTCTTTCCATAGACTCTCAAGCTTTGCAGCTTGAAGTCAGTTTACAATTTTCTGCTGCCTGAGGGGCAGGTAAAGTGACCCACTCAAGCAGGGCCCCGTGGGCACAGCAGTGCTGCTAGCCAGAGGCACAAGAAGCTCTTGGACCAGGATATGGTGCAAGCAGGCTGCCAGCTCCAAGGACAATGCTTGCAGTCCCAGCTGCAGGAAGTACTTGAAGGATATTTGGCAGTCTCAAAAATGCTAACTTAAATGATAATGATCTCATTCTGTACTGGTTTAATGAATCATAACAGGCAGAAAAACAATCTGTTCTAGGAAGATTTATGGTCATTACTTTAAAAATAAATTACTGATGAATTTGAAAAAACAATGTTAAAGCCTCCATCTGTCGGACTCTTTGTTGACTCAGGTGACATTTACTCAATGCCATGGCTCAAGAGTTTCTTTTTTTCACTCTGTTTGGTTGTGCAATAATTTTTGTCTTATATTTCAAATACAGAAAGAAAGGTACAGGATCTAACAGGGAAAGGAGTGGGGAACTGACCACTAGAATGATTTGCTCTAGAAAATTCCACCTTCATCAGAGAATTTTTTTGTTAGACCAAAAGGTTTTTAGCCAGCTCTAAATTATGTGTGTTGTGCCAACAGCTGCCTTTTTTTCTTTTTCCCAGATTAGCTGCAAAAGGTGTCTAGTTTCTTCAGCTTTTTTGAGAAGGGGGACAGTTTTTTTTCAGCAAACCCTGAAATATATCCAGAAGACAGAAATTCCAGACAGCCTTACTGAATACCCCACAGCATCAGCCTGTGACCAGTTTAAGCAACAAATGCAACCAAAGGAACTACCTTTCTACCTAACTACATTTCAGTTCACCCAGGGAGCCTTGTGTCTCCCACCAGAATTACAGGGCGAGAAAAATTACTTGTCCCATTCAAGCTTCAGTTTGGGACACGGGGTCTGGTGCAAAGGAATCAAATTGGAGTGCAGATGTGTGTTACAGTCACTGTGCTCAAGACACTATAGATCTGCTCCACTCCTACATGAGGGATATATTTCCTCCACACTTCGTTGCACATAGAGACTGCTTGGCTTATTCAGCCAACTCTGTTCAGGCCTAGATAGCTAATGAGCTGTGCTTAATGTTCCTAGTGATCTCATGAATTTTGTCTACATGTCTGGGATACTCTGTGTGTTCACTCACGTTAAATGTACTTTTTAGAACTAGTTCTCACGGAAGGATATATTTCCATGTCAGTAATTTCAAAACAGTAAGTGCTAAAGTAGGAGTTTAGCTCAGGCTCCAAAATATTTACTACTGCAAAACAATTTTCACAAATACCATATTCATTTGATGTCACAAAATTTTCAAAATTACTATTATCTAGTAATTTTTCAGACTCCCCTGTTTTTATAGTGCTAATATTTATAGGGACATTTGCATCTGCTTTAAAATATGTTCACGCAGCATAAGTTTGGTGGAGCCTCAAGAGAGTGGTCCTTGACATTTAAGAAAAATGCATGTACAGAATCAGAGACTATCTTAACAACGCAAATACAATGGTGTAGCCTACTGGAGAAGGACCACACAGTTTTAGGGCATTTTTCCCTAGAATGGTCTTGTCTGGAGGCCCACTAGAGGCATAGTCAGCACATGTTTCACCAGCTCTTCAAAGTTTGTCAATCTGGCCAAACCAGAGCTGTTTTATGTTTCTCTGTGGTGATGTTTTACATTCCTCTGCTGTTTCTTTTTTCTTCAAACCATTTATGGCAATTCCATCACTTTTTCTTTCTGAACAGAGTTGCCATAGGAATTTCAGTATGCTAGGGGACCTGGGCTACACTCTGGAACTTGGTCTTCAGCATTCCTTGTCTGAAGAGGTCCTTTTGATATCCAGGACTGCAATCCAATGTGGGCAAGTAAGCCCTCCTCATCTCTTTCCCTTAAGCCTGCTATTAGGATCTGTGATTTACAATCCCTGCCTGGCAAGGCATTTTGCCTCCAAGGTGGTAAATCAGCTCTAACTCCTCCTCTTCCTACTTGGTATGTGCAGATCATCCTCTCCACTGTGGCTTTGTGGCAGTGGTAAAGTGGGGAAACATGACTAGAAACTGTAAAGTGCCTGGGTCTGATCCTGGATGGAGCTGCAGCCCCACTACAGCTCCAGAGGGAGGGAGAGCTGGTTGAAAACACTGGGGAGAAGCAGCTGTTCTAGTGATGGCTGGTTTTCCTTTGGAAAATACTTCATAAGTGACCAAAACATTCTGTGGTTTGGGAGACTCGCTTCCTCAGTGGCTGCCATCTAATTATATACAGCCCCTGTCCTCACAAGGTGTGTGGTTCTGCTTGCAGGGATGGGGGAGATGGAGGGAGGATGGGAGCTGTGTGGAGAGTCAGGGGCACAGGGATGCAGCATTCTAGCCCAAGGCAGTTGCTTGCTGGATCCAGAGCCACTGATGGTGGAAGCTAATGCCCAGACTGTGTTAAAAAACATCTATCAGCCTTGTTTTGTGGCTCTGAGAAACAACATCAATGTTGTTTGGACACTCAGGAGTCTGGTGTCAGTGTCTGTGGCACAACAGCTGGTAAGGGCACCGTTACTGTAATAAAATACAAGACCATGCCTTTACAGGTGCACATGGAGGTGCCTCAGACAGAGACCTCTGGGCCAGCAGTCTGGCATTTGGGAGCTGCAGCATCATCAGACATGTGGGGATCATCAATGGAGACATCTGCTCTCCTCTGCTTCCCCTGGGAGGAAAAGGGAGCACAGGCCATAGGCAATGGGAGCACATGGGTGCCTTTTCCCCCGTGCCTTCAGGCCTCACCCACTGCTCCACAAGAGCAAAGGCCAGGGTGGTGTGCAGGCTACAGACACACTGGAGGAGGGATTTGCTCCATGGAGAGACCTCATGGGGCACACTGACATGGAGCATGGAGAGGAGGGGTGACCCCCCCACAAGGGTAGGGAGGTCTGCCAGCCCTCCTTTGGAAAAGGCTGGCACTCTCCATTGCTTCAGCACCGCTTTCAGAACAACACAGGAGAGCAGCAGGGAGTTGCGAATGGCAGCACTGTCCAGGGCTCCTTCAGGACGGTCACTGGCTGACCAAGCAGCACCAGACACCTACATTCCCTTGCTGTCACCACCAGTCATCATGGTTTTCTCTATTTTTCTCCATTCAGAATTTTCTGCTTACCTTTTGGAGTCTCCTCTGGGCCTATCCCCTGCTGAAAATAAAACACAGCATCCTTTGATAGGTGCTTTTTGCTGAGTCAGCTTTTCCCCCCTTAGCTTGAGAAATTTGGGCAATTAATAGTCCTGACAGCTAATTGTATGCCTCAACATTAGTACTCTCTATGGAAGCAGGAAAAAATGCTTCTTGCAGTACCTGGTGTTGGCCTGATCAGTTGGACCACAGAACAAATTCTGCAGTCACTCTTAGATAAGGCCCAGATAATCCTCACACTAAATTAATTTTTTTGTGTGTGTGCACATCCTCCTTTTCATTTATATTCATTACTCTTTTTTAATTGTTGCCAAGGTATATATGTGTTTGGAACAGAAGCACTGCAAATTTTAAGAGTGTGCAGGCAGCAATGGCCTTGAAAATTGGGATGAAATAAACTGTCCTAGCACTACAACTTAAGCAATCCAACCTTGCATAATAGTGGATAGTCTGAAAAAATTATATAGCTATAGCAAAAACATTATTATTTAAAAAAATCACTGCTGAATGAACAACAGTCATTAATGTATAAAAACTTGGTTCAAACCCACAGACTTCTTTCCCCTTCCTAGGTGCTCTCCAAAGCTATTTTGAAATAATTTTGCAGGACTAGTTCATATTTTGTTTTCTGTTTAGGTCTAGAAAACTTTTTGGCAATAGTAAATCACCTATCCTTAGAAGTAAGGGGAAGAAAGAAGAAGAGGAGAGCAAAGGAAAGAGGAGTGCTGATTTTTCTGGTCTGATAGGACCTTTGCTAAATAACTCAGCCCTAGCCAGGTACAATTAGAGGGAATCTATATCTCTCCATAAGCCTGAGACTCTACAAGAAGTAA